TAGAAATATTGAGATACTCACATGACATGTAAATACGAAATAAAGAATAATAATAATAGTCATCATCATTATTGTTTTACGGCTATTTATGCTTGTGGTTAGGCTGTGGTCACCTGATGGCAGCTTCCATGCTTGTGTGGTCTCACGTTCCTAACTCTTAATGTCATTTCTTGCAACTCTATGTCATTTTTGGCTGCCCTAGCTCTCCTGTTTCACATTTAGGGCTCCTGCATCTCTTGATCTAATCGATGTCATTCTTCCACCTGCCCAAACCAATTCAACCTTCCTATGCAGGATTTTCACCATTACTTTGATACCCAGCTGCCTTAGCCTGAACAGCCTTTTCCAGTGTCGTGTTACTGATCTGCATCACCATTCTAATTTCAGTTGCTCAAGTCTTGTGTCATCCTCTTTAACTGCCTCATGTTTCACTGCTACAACATCACACTTTTCACATCAGATGCATGCATTCTTTCTTTCACTCGGAGGAAAGGTCCTTTTCCTGTCAATAGGCAGCAGCCCCAAACTATCTCCAGCCACTTCTGACTTACAACTGAGCAGGCTTCAGCACTCCCACCGCATTGGTCATGTCACCCAGGTAACAGAACTCATCGCCACAGTCCAGAACAATCCCCAATGTTGAGTTTCTGCATACAGAACACTCTAATTAAGAGTCAGTAAATATCTCTGCAGTCTGCCATTCTACGACTGAACTTTTGTGTGACTCCACCTTCCACACTCAAAGCACATTATTGAGTTGGTTGTCAACACCTTTCTTGCAGATAGCACATGACCATTTTTCACTTTTTTCACCATGGTTCCTCACCTACACCACTAATCAGTACTTTTGTTTTTGTCATCACATACACTTTCAGGCCCTTTGCTCTCTATCTGCTACAGGTTGACAACCCTTTATCCTAAAACTGAAAGCTCTAAAACCGCAAGTTTTTGTGGGCTTTTTTTTTTTTTTTAAACAGGATTATTAGCCCAGCCAGGCATAGATCACTGACCCACATCGGCCTGGGGCAAATGTAATAGTAATAATAATTATAATAATAATAATTATTCATAGTAAATAAAATTTTTAATAATTATACACCAAATAAAATAATAATGATTACAATACAGGTTGTACCTCTCTAGTCCTGCATTCTGTGTCTTAAACCTCTGGTCCTGAACGATTTTAGTTTGTCCAATAGGTAGGTAGTTTTTTTTTTTTTTTTTTTTTTACTATCTGAATTATTATTATTACAGGGTATTAAATTTTTGCCCCCAGGCCCTAAATGTGGGTTAGTGACTCTATGCCTGGGTGGGCTAATCCCTTCAAGCCGCGGAAATTAAGTTTGTTTACATCCTATAGTTCGCTGCCACACACACACACACTCTCTCTCTCTCTCTCTCTGCTTGTCTATACAGAGTACAACATTTAACCCTTTAATATATATGAGCAGTAAATAAGTGTTGCTTTCATATTCTTATGTAGAGTAATGACGATATATTTTCACATGTGCGCACTTACATACGAGCAGTCTCACTTATTTTTTTTACCATTGATGGTTAGCTACTTATATTGTTCCATTTATGAACATTAAATAACATTACAGGTACTTCAAGCAACATATTCAATTTTTACATTAATTTTACTACAGCTAAACTCAGGGTCTTATTTTCTTCAGTTTTATATGTAGAACCAATCAGTCACTGGTTTCGTAAGCTTTAACATAAACAATGCCGGCAGCCGTCTCGTCTCCTCTAATATTCCACGTATTATTAATAAACTGTATTGTTAATTTTGCACACACGTACATTAATTCAATAAAAACAAATTCAGAAACATTAATTAAAATATATATGAACAGTAAATAAGTGTTGCTTTCATATTCTTATGTAAAGTAATGACGATATGTTTTCACGTGTGCGCATGCGCACTTACATATGCGATCTCTCTTTTTCTTTACCATAATCGTTAGCTACTTCTATTGTTCCATTTATTATTAAATAACATTACTTAAAACAACCATATTAATTTTACTACAGCTACAACCAAGGTCTTATTTTCTTCAGTTTTATATGTAGAACCAGTCAGTCACTGGTTTTGTAATCAACGAAAACAATGCTGTGTCATTTCCTCGTGTTTTAATATTCTACGTATTATTAATGAATTGTATTGCTCATTTTGCACACAAACATTAATTCAATAAAAAAGACATTCAGTAATAAACAATAATGAATCTTTTGTACATAAGAGAAATGACGCTGTTTACACGATTATGCACGTCGTCTGCACGTTGGCGGGCCGTTCAAACCCGTCGAAATTCAAGTTTCCGCCATCAAAATTTTTATTTATTTATTTTTTTTGTGTGTTCCAATAAAATACGTTAAGAATTAAAAACTCGCAAAATTTGAGAAGCTACTATACGACATTTAACCCTTCAATATGTCTTCAAAGAGACCATGACTCAGAGAAAGTGGAGCTAGTGCTTCTAAGCATAAGCACAAGTCACTATCTATCCAGGAAAAGGGTGAATTTCCATGGTCCGGCACCGGTCAGGTCCCGAGGTTGCCGGACTAGAGAGGTACATCCTGTAATAATAATAATAATAATAATAATAATAAAATATAATAATAAAATTAATAATAATAATAATACTGTAATAATAAAATAATAATACAGCAAAGAAATACAAGAATGAAAAAAGATCAAAAGTGAGAAACACGACCTAGACCTATGAATTATTATTATTATTATTATAATTTTTATTATATTTTAGACCCCCAGGCCCCAATGTGGGTCAGTGATCTATGCCCGGGTGGGCTAATACACATAAAAAAAAAAAAAACCTAACCATTCTGAAAACCGAAAAATTCCGAAAACCGAAATGCCTCTGGCCCCAAGGATTTCGGATAAAGGATTGTCAACCTGTATCAGCAAAATCAATAGCATACAACAACTCTCAGGGCAGACCAGTCCTAAAGTCCTGTGTTGTTGCCTCCATTACCATGATAAATAGAAGAGGGCTCAAGATAAGACCTCTGATGGATTCCTACTTTTACCTAAAGCTTCTCAGTTTCCTCACCATTTAATCTTGAAGTTTTGAGCCCTAATATAATGCCATAACCACTGGAAACAAGAAACTCTTTGACTACTAGCTTTCTCAGTGCCCCCTTTAACCACTTCACTACAAGGATGCCCGTTTTAATATTTTTTTGGGCTAGCGCCAGACGATTTTATTCAGCACCGAGGGGATCCCTTACACAAGTGGTTAATACTTCACATGGTACCCTGTCAAGTGCCTTCTACAAGTACAAATATGAAGTACAATTTTCTCTCTTTCCCTAGTGAATGATAAGAAATCAAATACACCGGTGCTTTTTCTGAAAACAACACTGAAATGTCTATAAGATGAAAATTTACTTGAAATGAAAATTTTTTCCAGGATGGTTCTCATATCAAAGGCCTGTTGATCAACTTCATTCACCATAATTGGCCCACACTACTTCGACATTCTTTTCTGGAGGAATTTATCACACCAATTGTGAAAGCCAGTAAGAATAAACAAGAGATTTCATTCTACTCATTACCTGAGTTTGAGGAATGGAAGAAGTCAACAGATCAATGGCCAAGCTTCAAGATAAAGTACTACAAAGGTATTTAATATTTTATAAAGGATAATGGTATTAGTTTATAGTTTGTCTTTTCAAGAGAAATTTTTGTTTTTGAGTCAGATGTTGATCCTCAATCATATAGTGGTCCCTCAGTTAACGAACACAATTTGTTCCACAGAGTCGTTCGTTAACCGAATCCATAATTTCAATGGGATATTGGGTAATTGGTTCCAGCTCACAGAAAAGTACAAACAAAGTAAAGCTAAAAACGCATAGTCCGAAACACTCCTAAAATTCCCCAAAGTCGCTTTGTGTCAGGCTAACATTTCAGTAACATTACTTGTTCATATTGTTTTAAGTACCTGTGAATTTAGTGTAATTACTTTGGAACATCTTCCTTCAGGTTTGGGTACATCTACTTCTAAGGAGGCAAAAGAGTACTTCAATGACATGGTGCGTCATCGAATTTTATTTAATTATGGTGGAGCACAAGATGATCATTCCATTCAGATGGTGAGATTATGTATCTGTTGTCTTTACTCTTTTGTCATTGTAACTAGGGCTGGAAACAGTAAACTCAACTAAGGAAATGAAGAGGAAAGTGTATTGAAAGCATTATGTCCATAGTGCCCTAGCAGTACATTGTAGGGAAATCCAGGGCTGTGTTGGTTCAATATGGCAGAGATACATATTATTTTGAGAGTTGGTTATATTAGAGGGGTGATTTTAAAGTGTTGCGAGATTGAAGACAGTGAAATTGTTGACCAAAGACAGTGGGTTGTATGTAGATAGCCTTTTTGGGGAAATATGAGTTGGAAACTTTTTTCATTAGAAGGTAAGTCACCTCCAATATGAATCCTCATGCCAATCAGTAATGTCAACATAGTCATGACATTGATGATAGTTAGCAGTGAACTATCATACTGTACCCCCAGATTATAGTCTACTACAGTATATAGTAAAGTTTTGCTTTATCAGATCTTGAATCCATTTTGGTGACATGTACCGACAGTGGTCTGGGTTAAGCAGCTTCATATATTTAGGAAATGGTCTCCTGATTTTCAGTAAATAATTTTATTTATTTTATTATTAATATTTGATTTTTTCTTCAGTGTAAGGGAGGGTTCGTAATGGAAAAAGTTTTGCATTATTTATTGACATGTCAGTAGTTGTCGTACATGTAATTGATAAAGGGCCCTGTAAATTCATTTCCTTTTGAGAAATATCCTGAAACATGTTTTATGCTGTAAATGAACTTTCAGGTTGTATTGCTGGAAATTGGAAAATTTTAGCATATTCTTTGCCTAGGGAACAGGTGTTAGCCCTTATTGAGGGTTAGAATAAAAATTTAGAGCTGTTTTTATATCCTTTAATTGAATAAAAAAAAATTTCCGTGAACTAAAATAAATTTTCCTCATTTACAGGCATTTAGTAAAAAAGCTGTGGAGCAACGTAAAGAATGGTTGACAGGATGGATGGAGGAATGTAAGCGCCGTAAAGAACTAGGTCTACCAGAAATTTACCTTTATGAAAAAGACACAAAAGCAGTTTCTTACACTGACTTTGTCAACAAGGAATTGGTTCTGTTTTCTAATTTAGATAATGAACGTTCAATTCCTTCACTTGTGGATGGCTTAAAACCTGGTCAGAGAAAGGTATGGGTTTTTCAAGTTGGAGGAATTTAAGTTATTTAACAGCCTAATTTTAAAGCTTGCACTCATCCTTTAACCTTTTAGCATTAATTATCTCCAGCGCTATATGACCTTGCACTCATCCATATAAAAGCCTACTCAGGAAACACCAATGTTCACCAAAAAAGCAGGCATATGAATGCACAAAACAGGACCCCAGACATGCATAACTAGGACTAAATCCCACATAACAGTGCATCTCCTAAAGCAACTACAGTCCATAAATAGCAGCACTTTTATGTGTCAATTTCCAGTTAGATGAGAGGTGTGAGTTTTCACCTGCATTATATGAATTTTGTGGTTGATGTTGCAATTGATTAGAAACTGGAGAAAAGGACCAGCCCTACATAATTTGTCGCTTAGTGGCTTCTATCATTGCTACTCTTGGCTTTCACTGTTCTGCAGTTCAAAGCTTCCTCAGACAAACAGTATCTTGGACACTTGTATTAGAGTAGACTCCTAAGTGGTCTTCTGTTATATGTGTGTTTATTGGGTTCCAAGGAGTTTCATCATCAACAAAATTTTATGGTCATTTTCCATGCTTGCATGGGTTAGTCATGGTTACCTGATGGAAGCGCTGCATGGTCTCTTGCAGCCTCTCTTGTCAGGTTCTTAATCCTACATTTACATTTAAATTACAATTCGGTCAGTGGGTACAGAACCCTTTTGTAAATTGGGGAATGCCTGTACCTGATTTCTGCTTTACAAGAATACCTACAGGTATATTCTTTATCTGGGGTTTACGTTCATGAGGACGTTCGTAAGTCGGAACACATGCTATTTGCATACCTTACTTACAAAACAATGTTTAAAATCCCACTATATCATAGCCTAAGTCCTTATACATCCAACATCACTTAATTTAAGACAAAAATTTAAATAGAATGACAAAATACAGTAAATTAAAGTAAAAAATAAGTCATCAAGTAAATCAAATAATGTAAATTTTTAAGTTTAACCCCATTCATATCGGCGGGCGTTCGTAAGTTGGGACCTCCTGTACTATTGTGTAGTTTAGTTGGACTGAAGCTACTTTTGGAAATGAAAGGCAGCTTCTAAACTCCCCTTTTTTATGGCAATTGTTGCAAAAGGAGTGATGTACTTATATTATTTCTGTTGCCAGTGTTGTGGGTTTGGCCAAACCTAGGTTGAAATTGTAGACTTAACAGTGCACTATACTTGGGTCTCCTTATCCTAATTCATGTATGAAATGGGGTATCCTGTACCAATCCTTGAATTTTTAATTAATTTTAGTCTTTGATTTTCTAAGTATACTTTGGTACAGTATTTGTTTTGTTTTTGGTAAATTGACATTTTGAAGATAGTGTAAGAACTACTAAAAGGAATTTAAAAAATATAATTTTCTGATGCTTTGTTCTCTACAGGTACTGTACACGTGCATGAAGCGAAATGACAAGCGGGAAGTTAAAGTGGCCCAACTTGCTGGTTCAGTTGCAGAACATTCTGCTTATCATCATGGTGAAACTTCTCTCATGTCCACTATTATCAATTTAGCACAGAACTATGTGGGTTCAAATAACGTCAACCTGCTGCAGCCCATTGGTCAGTTTGGTACCAGGTTGCAGGGAGGCAAAGATTCTGCTAGTCCTCGTTACATTTTCACCAAGTTAAGGTACTGTTATTTGATGTGCTTTTGGAAGTTACCTCGTATCTTTATATAATACTGTACTAACGTGAATAAAGTTAGTCAGCCGATGCAGAATGAATGGTAAATACAAATGAAATTTTTTGGGTCTTTGAATATTAATTTGGAGTTATAGCAATGTTTGAGCATTGTAATTTGCAGTACATCTAAACCATGTTGTGAATGGGAGGTATAAGGTAAGAGAGTGGTTTGGTGAAAGCTAGATAGAATAATGATGAGAGTAATTGTGTAAAAGAATCTTGATACAGGTGACATGATTTTTTTTTTTTTTTTTGCAGAGTAGAAGGTGCAAAATTGGTAACATTTTAAGATAGAAAAACAATTGATAATGATGAAAGAATCCAAACACTAAGGTAAGAGTGTTGCTTGTACTTGACAATACAGGCATAAGGATATTTTAAAGTTCTTGCGAGGTTTGTTTACCTCTTTACCACATAAGTGTCCTTCCTTTTAAGCTGACCCAACAGTGTTTTCAGTTATTTGGGAACTGTTTGAAGTTTATTATTATCATGACTTACTGTATTTGCTGGTGCATAAGATGCACCATGGTTTTAGAAAGAAACATTTTGGTAAATACTGTATGCACTGTAATATTTACTCTTATAACAGAAATTAACAGAAACATACAGTAAACCCCGTTATAACGGACCCTCTGACTCGTTCGGACTAGATTCATATGCTGTATTATGGACTCGGGTCTGTTAAAGAAAAAATAATGGACTGGGTCAGTCATTCTGGATATAACAGACTTTTGGCTTTAACAGACCGACCGTTAACCCCATTCGTCCGTTATATAGAGGGTTTACTGTACATTAATGAAGCAGAAATTAAATATTTCTCTGAATACCAGTATTTGGTAATTATAAGTAATAAATACTCACACTACTGTTACAAAACAGAACTAAATGATCCATGAAATATAATTATTTCTGTGAGTATACAGTAAAAAAAGGTAATATAAAGGTCTTATACATCTTTATATTGAACATTGCTATCAGGAATCCAAAATGCTTGGGACCTAGAGGCTTTCAGAAAGTAGGTAATTTTGGAATGGAATTTTGAATTGTCTACTCCAGGAACCTGTATGTATGCTATTTTATACACTAAAAAGAAATTGAAATATTACTCAATATTACATAAAACATATAGAATGTTCCTTAATATGATGCAAATCTGTTTGCTGTAAAAAGCCATGGGACTGCTAGGTGCTCAATGTTTTCACCTTGATATTTCATCCATGGTTTTGTTATTTCACTAGCTATATCTTCACTAAACTTCCATACATAGATACATGTTATTGCAGGAAAAATAGTTGATGAATAGTATTTCCTTCATAAGTACTCACCAAGTGTTGTTAATGTATTCATCCAGTAAGCGGTAGTCAATGTAATTAATGTAGGTCAGTAACTACCACACACAACCAGTCTATCAAGCTCCCAGATTGTGCAAATTTTACTTATTTATTTTGAAGTTGCATATGGAAAACAAAATGATATATTGATCCTATTCTTTATTTATGCAGTATATGTTAATTAATTTGGAAGTGAAATTTGTTGATAGATGAACTGGTAGGATGAAGAAGTGATGGGTAGAGTCAGCTAGTGTGTATAATCTGCAGCTTTGAGCGTCTTGGATCAGAAGCATTCTTAGTGACTCCAATATGATGCGAGATAGGTTCTCTGTTCAGAGCTAAGATGGTGGCTGGGTATTGATGAGTATGAAGAGGTAGACAGAAATGGTTTGGTCATGTAGAATGTTTGAATGAAGAGAGGAAGAGAGAAAGGGATAGACCAAGATGACATTGGGAGAGGTTGTGACATATGACTAGGGATAAGCACCTGTTGAGAGGCTGCAATGATGTGCAGCCTGGAGTGCTGCTATCAGGTAGCTACAAATAATCTGCACCAGTGTGGAAACTGCCATATACATGTGAATGATTTTATTTCCAGGCCAACTGAATCATGAAAAAAAATTCCTCTAATCCATTGGGCTTGTATATTTTCATATCCACTAGCCTACAATTGCTTTCAAAATGTGTGGGAATATCTAGTAAAAATTTTTAGTGGCAAAAACAAGCATTACTGCACAAAAGGGATACGTTGTAACTCTTGTTGGGTCATATAAAATGTTCCAGGACTGACAGGCCCATGCTTGTAGTGATGAAGAAGCACAGTACGTGTGTGAGAGACTATGACAGGAATGATGCAATACATGCTCATCCTCTTCTCTCTTTCCCAGTAGGATTAACATCACCTTTGTTTGAATTATTTTACCTATAAATTCTTACCATTTTTCTGGATCTTAATGTCTTTTGAACTGTTAAAGCCTTGGCTGCCAGCTGACAAGTCAAACGTTTGCACACGCTCCTGTCATCACTTATAAAGCAGATTTATCTTTTTCTGATTTTTCTATATTAATCTCCCTTTATTCATTGCTAGTGTGCAATATTATTTACTGCATGTTCTTTTCCTGCGTAATGGTGGTGCCTCGGGGAATTGGCTGATGAGTTGTAAACATGTAAGCGTTCTCTTGCAGATTGCTGTTTATCTCTATTTTTATTATACTGATTAATTAGTTTTCTATAGTTCTATCGAGAAATGGGGTGAATTATAGAATTGTTATGTTCAATATAAAATCTTTCTAAATTGTAGGATCTACTTATGAGGTCTCGCCTTTCCATGAGGCAAAATTATCACTTGCCTGATGCGCTAATGATTTTTTAACTGACTTGCTGTTAGGATTTTCCACTTGCCATGGGTGAACAGCCCTGATTACAATTCATGGAGAAAACTTGTTTAGGTGCCTGGAAGATACTGTTCTTGGGAACTGTGGCTAGGTGTTGAAATATGATTGTATGGAGGGGTAAAGCATAGTCTCCATCTTGCTATTAGATGACTCCTGGATACTGGATGTGCATTTCATAATATGACTATTGTTAGAATAATTTTTTCACTTTTCACTTTATTTTTTCTTTTAAAGGAATGGGGGTTAGGAACTGAGACATTCTACAAACACATACTGGTAATTATAAAATTAATTCTTTTCCAGCAAACTCACTCGGCTGATCTTTCATCCTCATGATGATCCATTGTTGAAGAACAACTATGATGACGGTACACGAATTGAACCTGAATGGTACCTACCCATTCTTCCAATGGTTCTGGTAAATGGAGCTGAGGGTATTGGTACAGGCTGGAGCACTAGGATTCCTAATTACAATCCTCGAGTATTAGTGGATAACCTGAAGAGAATGATTCGAGGCGAGGAACCTGTCAAAATGGTAAGTTTCTTTGAATTGATGAGTTTGTAGTTTTTTCTTGTGCTTGAGTGTAATGGTAAAAATGTTTGGACTGGCCTTTTATGTTGGAGAAATCCTCATTTAAGCTTATTGGTCTTCCTTTATAACATATTTCCCATTGTCTAAACATAACTGATGCCTCTGTACCCCATTAAGAATTACACTTATGCTCCAGATGTGCTTGCAAGGGGTATGTTAATTAGCATTTGTCCATTCATGTGTTCGTATGACTGTCCCACCTCATTGTTTTCTAGAATTATGGAAGCAGTATTCATCATAAGGGAATAAAATTTTATAGGCTTTGTTTTCTGTATTATTTAATTAGACGAGTAGATTTTAAACTTGTTTGATTTATATTTTCAGTTATGTCATAACATTTTTAATTGAGGCGCTCCACATTAGAAGGGGGTGAAGCGACACCCTGGCCAAAATGCGTTTATATATATATATATATATATATATATATATATATATATATATATATATATATATATATATATATATATATATATATATATATATATATATATATATATATATATATATATATATATATATATATATATATATATATATTTATTTTCATCCTTCCTCTACATGTTGGCTTTGGATGTAACCCTCTAGCTAGAATAGAAATATGTTAGAAAGTCCTTCAAAAATAAGGTGTGATTTCGCCTCAGGCCTGGAGCTACATATCTGGCTGTGCGGTCAGTCAAAGAAGGTGGCGAGAGGAGTGCGAGCCAATGACAGCGTGCCTCCCTCAGACCATACCCCCTGAGGCAGCCAATCACATTGGATTTCCCCTTACTACATCACAGCTTCTTGGCCAATCCGCACGGGCCCAGATGTTGCCTCCTTGTTAGTTTTGGCCCGTTGTATAGCATAAGGAGGTTCAGTGTACTTTCTATTGCTATTTTTTTTTATAGCTTTTTGGCATAAGATTGACGTTATTCGTGTTCCACGGGTGTGAGAAGTGCTGTGCAATATCTGCCCGATATTAGAGCAAGACTTGAGTGAAGCCAGGTCTTCTGGTGTGGGTTCAGGAGCCCATAATTCCAGAGCGTGTGTTTAGTGATGACAGTGTTCACGTGGACACCCCAAGGAATGCTTGGTGACAGGGATTTTGGTGGCGAATTTAGTGTTGATTATGGTGATACAAGTGCTACTGGCAATGGTGCAGGTGACAATAACACTTTGAATGCACAGAATAACTTTAGCATGCTACGAAGCATCCGAAGATCTTTTTGCCAACTATGGCGAGTTAAGAGACAATGATAATGACAGTGAAAGCGAGCTTGAAATAGATGAAACGGCGTATACTCATAATACAAAAAGTGGCTGCCATGCATCACAAGACCTTTTTGCAGACTGTCCTGGTGCAGGGTTATGTGACATGCACTGACGGCAATAATGGCGATGAAAGTGAAGATGAAAATGATGATAGTGAATCTAATGGTAGCACAAACAGTGACACTAATGTATCACAACAAGAACATACAGACTGTGAGGAGGTAGAAGTGGACAGTGACGAGACATGCATTGACCTTGATAGTGATGAAAGTGACCCTGACCCAATGAATGCTAGTGAAAGTGAGCCCATAACTCAGCCTTATAATGAAACTGAACTGTTGCCGGCATCAATAATCAATGATTTATTTGATGAAGAATCAGTGTGGCAATTTTTAGAAAGGGCAGAGAAAGACTTTGATCAGTACGTGATTGATTATGACGAGGCCATTAAAGTGATACGCACTCCTCAGGATTTACGTAACTTCAAGTTACTACGATCTTCAGGGATAATAAAACGAAGGAACTAAACAAAGTAAGATTGTAATACTATTATCATAATACTGTTTTTACCAAATATTATGCAAACTTTCTCCGCCTTTGTATTTGTATGTTAATTTCGCTGGGGGAGGGGGGGAGTGTGTAGTGGTGTTTCCTTATTATTACACACTATTACTGTGTACTTAACAATATTTCAAAATCTTTGGCTAATAATAGGGATGGAAAGATAAATACTAATAGGCAAATGAGTTTTTAATTATTATTATTCATTGGGGGGGGGGGGAGACAAGTGCTGTTTTTGGTGATCATTAACTTGTGTTACAGTATTAGCTCACAATAATAAGAAAATTTTGCAGAAAAACACGATTATTGTTGGTTTGAAGATCAAACAATTGTATACATCACGGGTCGTTATTCTCATTCAACTCGTGATAAAATGATAACTATTCACAGTACTAACTTCCAGTTTTCACAGTTCACTAGGAGAGGGATTGAGCTGCATGTTAAAAAAAAATTAACCCTCTAGCTTAAAAAACGACATAGTTATGGTTGTTTGAACTTCGAAAAACTTTAAACGCGTTTTTCTCAGCTTTTTTAATTTGGCGCTTCACCCCCCTTCTAATGCTGAGCGCCTCAATTGAAGAATTATGTAACTACTTTTTTTATACCCGTATACTGTATGCTTATTGTGAAGGCATTCGTGATTTACCTTTGTGAAAAGTACAGGAATTACTGTACTCTATCATTGCTGTTATTATCTCCCACCCCCAGAAACCATGGTTCAAAAATTTCCGAGGCACAATAGATGAACTAGAACATGAACGTTATGTTGTCCATGGTGAGATTGCTAACATAGGCCAAAATCAATTTGAGATCACTGAACTCCCAATTCGTGTGTGGACACAATCATATAAGGAATCTGTGATGGAAAATCTTCTTGTAGGCAGTGAGAAGACTCCAGCTTTAATAAGGTGAGAAAATATTTTGACAATTTATTATTTTATTAAAATTTATGAAGGAGGTTTAGAGTGTTGATAGAATGAGAAACGAATATTGTAAAAGGAGTGTATAATCCAAAAACATAAGGTAAAGTGGAGGAAGAGAATACCAAAAAGAACATGAAAACATTTGTGAAAGAAGAATAAGAAATGGGGGGAATTTATATCAAGGAGCAGCAGAATTCATGAATGATAGAGGGGTTTATGGCAGTGGAATCCAACCTTTTTGAGTGGTGGTGCAGTAACCTTTCCCTCCACCACCTGGAATTTCAGTTTAACATTGTGAAATAAGTCTATTGAGCTTAACAGACACAAGTCTTTTAACCCATATATTATGAGGAGGGCTCTTTAGTACCACATGGGTTCTGCAGAGTTTTAAAACTAGGTGGAAATTCATAGGAGGGGGCAAATAAATAATTAACAAACAAAAAATATACAGTATCAATAAATTTTCATGGGGTGCAGAACTGATTTTGTATTGGATGGTAAAAAAACAGTAACAGATATGCTCTGATAGGTCCACAGTGTTGGTTAGATAGCCTGGAGCATTTATCCATTAGTAAGATGATCTTGAAATCTAAATTTTCTTTGTCAGTCTACCTGTTATCCAACCCTTTGTGATCAACTTCCAGGTAACTGGAAGGTACTCCTTGGAGTATCTCCTTAAGGATCTAGGGGTCTCAGAATAATAAACCATCAATTATTTCTACTTTAAATCACCTGCAGTTGCACTTAGTAACATGTGCTATGGTCTCTTTCCAGTTTAAAGCCTGGAGTTTTTTTTTTCTCTCCCCCTTCCCCTCCTTTCTCATTTGTGTACAATCCTGTCAGTAGAAAGTCTTGTACAGTATTGAGTTTATCAGGAATATTAGAAATATGGCTTTTATTTTAACCAGCCTTCCCTTGATAGGCTGATATACCAAGATTCTACTGTTTATGCAAATATTGTATTTTAATTAATATTTGTTCCAGTGACTACAAGGAATATCACACAGATACAACTGTCCGGTTTTTAGTAACGATGCCAGAAGAAAAGTGTCGCAAAGCATTAGAAGATGGAATTCACAAGACTTTCAAGCTCCAGTCCACTTTAAGTATCAGCAGTATGGTAAGTATTAAGCACCATTATTTCTGATGTTATTAGAAGGTTCAGCAATGATATAAGTACAATAATTCATGTAACATTCTATTATGATTTTCCAAATTTTGTTTCTTCTTTGGCTCCAGGATTCAGCCAGTTGCAAAATGTAAAATGTTCTCTAAACAATTCAGTTATAAAGAATATTTAAGCAATTTTGTTTATTAATATTAAATTTTATTATTGTTGTTATTCTGAAATTTTTGTATTAATTCCTCTGGCCAAGTGGGCTTAAGGTATGGTATGGCATTGTCCACCCATCTTGCATCAACTTTCTTTAGATAAACTTTTACTCAAGAGCCACTTAGACAATTTCAGCCAATCTAAGCAAGAAGTTCCTTTAAGGGAATAGGACTACAGTGAGGGCCTGCTTAACGTGTATGATGTGTCCCTGAAAACTTGTACGTTCAGTGGAATAATGTTAAGTGGATATTAATTTCCCATAGAAACCCTGTTATGGATTGAATATGAGCACCAAAACTCATAGCAGTGACTGTATTTCTTACTTTCAAGTATCTGTCCAACTGTTAGATAGAGTGGAATCAAAGGCATTTTGTCTAATTAACTCTCCTTTTTAGTTGATAATATTTCTTCCTTTTCTCATCGCCGCAATATTGCTTCACTATCTTTTACTGGTACTTTAACTGGCAATGTTCGGTGGATTTAGCATCCTATGTACAAGGCCGTGGGCTCGTAACACTCGCCTTGTCTGCAGTGCCCACCGTTGCTCTGTGGATGTCGGTCACACTAGAATAACACATTATAGTACATCCTTCTTTTCTCATACTGCCAAACTGTGGAATGCTCAGCTTTCTTCTGTTTCCATACTCATACAATTTGTCTCACTTCAAAAAGCTGGTTTTCTGGCGTCTTTGTGGTGTAGATTAATAAAAAAAAATTCTTTTATATTTTCAATTTCTTTATACTCTTATTTTATAGCCCCTTAGGCCCCGTTGTGGGTCGATGACCTGTGCCCGGGTGGGCTATTCCCCTTAAAAAAAAGAAGACAAGAAGACAAATTTTTGCTTGGAGGTTGAGGCCCTGACAGCCACTGTCAGGGCATTCTGCTGCACAGTAATTGTAGTGAGTGGTGGACAAAGTACAGTACAGTATGCCAAGATAATTCGCAGATTTTTATTACATGACCTTTGATTATTTGTGGATGACACCCTGGATGTACTTAAGAATGTCTGCGGGTAGTTTTCAAGTTGCTGGCATTTTCCCGGCCGGTATGGGGAGCGAGTGAGTTTTGTGGCGTCCCGCAAGGTTCTCTCTTGGGATATAAATATAATACAGTATATAATAACTAAGTGGGGAGAAGGTTATACTATAGGGCATTGCAACATAGTGACATTGTAAAAAGGTAAGATTGGCTGGGAGTGAACACACTGGTTGATTACGAGTTATTGATAATTTTTACAATGGCTGGGACTGGGCTATTCTTATAGCGTGTGTTTATGTGTGTGTCTAATAATAATAACAATGGATGCCCCTCGTGTAACGAGGATGGCCGACCCAAGGGCCACCTAGGCATGAATTTGTTTAAGGTGTAGAAGCTGTTGCCAACACTACAACCACATCCTGAGTTAACGAGCTGATTGACCCGGTGTCAAGGAATAGTCCGAGAAGACTGGGCAACTCGCCAACTGCACTGGCTAACCATTACCCCGGAGCACGATCCGCAAATCGATTAACATCTAGGTTCCCAATTACTGCTGGGTAGACAGAGGCAAATGGCATAAAGAAACTTGCCCATAGTTTTACCCTGCCCGGGGGTTGAACCCAGCAAACGCATTAAGGAAATATACATTTCTTTGCACACGACTAAAAATGTACCACCCCCACCCCCGGTCATCAAATGTTATTCGCGGATTTGGCTATTTGCTGCCATTTTGAGAACCTAACCCCTGTGAATTTTAAGGGAAAGCTGTACTGGAAAATGTTACTTTCGTAAAAGTACAGTACTGTTACTCTAGGAAAATCTAACTCAGAATAGTTTAGTAATTGTTCCTTTTTCTTACAGGTACTCTTTGATCACAATGGTGTCTTGCGAAGATTTGACAACGTTGACCAGATTCTTCGGGAATTCTTTGACTTGCGTCAAAAATATTATATCAAGAGGAAAGCTCACCTACTGGGTAGCTTAGAAGCTGAAGCAAACAGATTATCCAATCAAGTTAGTGAGCATTTTGGTGTAGAATGCAACAATTAATTTGTTTTTATTTATTTATGTCAATAAATCACCTGTCTTCACCCAAGCTACCACATTTAATACTATGTACTGTGGAACCCTGATAGTTCAGTAATATTTGTTCTGGAATCATCCAGAAAATGGCGCAGATGCAAAATTTTACTGTTAATTCTAATGTTCAGTAAAACTTTAACAATTTGGAACACTTGGTGGTAGTCTCCAGTGATGTTTTTTGCTGACACATGTGCCAGGCCAGTATTAAATAGTGTTATATGAGCTTGTACAATAGTGTATCCATTACATTGATAATATCTCTCTCTCTCTCTCCTTCATGTGTAAAAGTGGGTAAGTTTGAAAAAAAGTTACAGGTGTTGGAGTGAAATTTTTGTTTGTTTATTTAAGGTACATATAGCATGGGTGAATTTAGGCAGTAATGGACTAGGAATCTTGTCCCCTGTACTACATACTTTTCTAATTATTTAAAAATTCTGACATCCATAACTGGTCAGAGCCGAGTATGCCAGAAGATAGAGGATCCATTGTCAATGGAACATAACTGCACTCCATCTCCTTTCAGTAGAATGATCCTACAGGATAGTTAATCATTTTTTTTTGTGAAGTTTTGAGTTCAAGCTTTTGAAAACTCATCTTTAATCAGTATTAGTTTTCTCAATTTACTGTATGTAGTGTTATTTTTCTTTCTTCAGGCACGCTTCATCGTGGAAAAGTGTGACGGCAAATTAGTGATTGAAAACAAAAAGAAGGAAGCTATGGTTCAAGAGCTGCAGCGAAAGGGCTATGACCCTGATCCTGTAAAGGCATGGAAGAAAGTCCAGGATCGAGAGGCTGCACTAGTAAGTCACAATATTAAGACTAGCATTTTATATTGAGAGTCATTAGAAGCCATTTGTACATATCATAAAATATGTCTTGTTAAATTTTTGTTTGCATGCGACATGAGGCTGAAGCTGGCAAATTTGCATATGAAAACCCCAAAGCGATAATGGAAAGTGGGCAGTGCTCATTGTCACGGTCTTCTTTTTTATCCACCGAGTGTTTTTTGTTTATGGCAGTTAGTTTGAATGAGCGAGAGTGAAGGGTGCAGTGACCTTGGATTATATAACCCATTGTGCTTACGTTTTGCGTGATCCTTGTTTAACTATTGACGATTCTTGTGTATTAACGATTCTTATTTATTGAAGATGAATGAGGTGTAATGTAAATGTTTGGGAGCGGTTCTGGTGGTAATGATGGCTGTAGAGAAGGTCAACAGGGAAAGCCCCAGGCCGTTTTTGGCTAGCGCAAGGGGGTCAAGAAGAGGAAATACACCCTGTGAAATCATGCATAGGTTCAACTGCCCCGAATCAACCATTCGTTCCCTTAAGAAGAACAAGCCTTAATTGTTTCTGTGAATGTATTCTCAAGATTTTCTAGTAACAAGACTTTCTCTGATATTTAACAATGAAACCTACTGCTTGTTTTCACAGAACATTACCCTCACAAGTAGGTGGAAAGAAGAAACTGTGAGCAGGGCGACCTATTTGGGCCACAGATATGGTATCATGCATGTGTTTATTATGCTGCAGTTGCACAGAAGAAATGCGTTAACTCTCCACCACTGTTCAATGCCTCTGCTGGTTGGTTGGTTGCTTTTAAGAAGCGTTATGAAGTCAAGTTTGCCGACTACCATGATGTAGCATAGAAAAATATCTACCTGTCTTTCAAGCTCTTGTGAAAGAGGGTGGTCATTGTCGAGACCAGATCTTCAGTTGTGACGAAACTGGCATTTTCTGGAAGCACTCACCTAAGACCACTTTCATTGCCAAGGATTAAAAACAGGCAAGGGGTGTAAGACTTCAAAGGACAGGATTGGTTTTATTCACAGCTAATGCAAGTACAAATTTCTTGATGAAACCCCTGGTTGTTGACCATGCTGCCCGTCCTAGAGCCTACCGTCATGCCAATATGTCGCAGCTCAATGTTTATAAGGATGTCTAATAAGAAAGCTTGGGTTACATCATCTTTATGCACCGATTGGTTTGACATGCACTCTGTTCCTTACATCCAACAGTACTGCCGGAGGAAGAACATTAACTTCAAAGTGATCTTAGATGCCACCCTAATGTACAAGTTACCTTCCTCCTTACACCACATCGCTTCTGCAGCCACTTGACCACGAATTCATCAGTAAAGTTAAACTGTTTTACTATCAGTCACTCTATAAAGACTTTTGTCAGCAGACAGACTCATTAGTTGAGTGACAACAAATTGAGACAGAACTCTCCGACTGACCAGGCTCTACCAGCTAACCAGGAGATGGTAGATGACCCGACTCCTAGCACCTCACCACCGCGCAACCATGAAGTGTTTGTGAATTTTGGAAGAAATATAATATTAAAAAGTACCTGTAATGGACAGAATTGTTGAGGCATGGCGGAAAAGTAATGTTGCAACAGTGCTACACGCATGGAAGCCTGTGTTCGCTAACTCCAAGGTAAGTGGGGCAGAGCAGACCAAGGCAAGCAGGGAGAGGAAGTTCTTGGCGGCAACACTAATGGACACAGCGGAGTCGGCGCAGTCAGTCCCAGCACCGGGATTTGCAAGAAATCATTGGTCAACATCACCAGCAACCGACAGTTGAAGAAATGTTGGAGGAAGATGAAGAACAAGAACAGCAAGCAACACAAGAGGAGGATGTTAAGCCTGGTGAACCTACAACACGCCAGCTGACTAAGATTCTTACAACCATCGCATGCTTCACTGAACAGCGAGAAGAATACGATACCAGGCCTCATGCACAGAACCATATCTGCCTTGTCATTGATATGGTTATAGAGGAATACAAGGCCACGTTCATGTCCTGTGTGAATGCTCTTCAGCAGGCTCTTATTACTCGGTACCTGTGCAAGGCCCAGCCTGTTAGAGGGATTTGATGCTGAGGTTAGAGGAGGTGTAGATGACGGGGCTGTAGGGCATGTGTGTGTGTCCCCCAGGAGGTCAGGGCTGTAGGGCATGTGTGTGTGTCTCCCAGGAGGTCGGGGCTGTAGGGCATGTGTGTGTGTGTGTCCCCCCCCAGGAGGTCGGGGCTGTAGGGCATGTGTGTGTGTCCTCCCAGGAGGTCAGGGTTGTAGGGCATGTGTGTGAGTCTCCAAAGAGTGGGACTCTATGATGTGTAGGAACATAAATCTCTCCAGCAGTAGGTATAAAAGCATGTTAAAGAGGAAGAGGGGAAGATAAGGCAGTGAAAGGATGGGGTGAAGAAAGTATATAAAAGTGAGGGAGATGGACATCCAGGAAGCAGCTGAGGATGATATAAGATGGCTGTGCTGAATGATGCTTTGGGTTGCAAGAAATAAGATGGAATAGAGAAAGTGAAAGGAGAGTTGTTTGGTTTTGCTTTTGATCCTGGCCATCTTGTATTATAGTGGGAAAGGGCTTACAAGAAAAAAGAATGAATATCCTTTATATTTTTCTTATGTGGCTGATTATTTTGATATTATAATTTTTTCCATTTTCAGGAAGAAGAAGTTGAAGAGAAAGTAGATGAGGATGCTAAATCAAATAGAGGATATGGCTATTTGCTGGGAATGGCTATGGTGAGCTTAACTCTAGAAAAGAAAGAAGAGCTGTTGAAGCAACGAGATATAAAATTGCAGCAGGTGGTGGATCTAAAATTAAGGTCTCCGGAGGACCTGTGGATCTCAGATCTCGACACGTTTGTAAAAGAAGTAAGCATAAGAATTCAATGTAGTTCTTACATAATTTTCATATTATTAGTAATGTAAAGAATTAGCCCATGGGTTGACTTTTAAATCTTTTTTTCTTTTCAAGGTGGTTATTTTTGTGCATTGAAAGCTTAATCTCCCTTTTCCACAGAAACTACTGTATTAGTATGCATGGGTATACCATTTACTGTGTTCTCAGGGAGATAACCCCGTGACTACTGAGGGTCTGTAGTTTTGAACAGACAAGTTTGGAGGTGAAAGAAAGCGGCAATAGTTATAGAATTGGGGATGCAATACATTCACACCCATATATTTTTATTTTTTTTTTTTTTTTTTTCTCTTAAAAAATACCACTTTGATGGAGAGAGGAAACCAGTGGTTTGTTGAATTCCCCCATTGTTTTTTTATGAGTTCTTCTTTTATTTGAGCATATATAATTAATGCAAAAGGAGCTATATGCAGCATTGATATGATGATATTAAGTATTTTGTGATTCTTGCTGATATGCCATCATTATTGGTATGTATTGTAAATCCTTTTGAATTTATCACATTTTTGCATTGTTTCCTTTTTGCGTTAATTTTACAAATGTTTTAGGTAAGGGGTTGTGAAAATAATGATGGAATGCTCACAATAGGGTGGTTTTGGTTACATTTAAATAAAGTAGCTGTGAAAGTTAGTGAATGCAAAATTAAAGTCTGTAGATCTAATGTATCTAATAGTATCCCAGGGTAGGCAGTGTGTTCTCCAACTTCATTAATCTCCTGAGCTAAATATGGTTGTCTACATTTTTTGCTTTATCCATGTATCATCTCTTGCCTCTGGGTTATGGGCATTAGTGCAATCAAACTTTAGTGCCTTTTTTTATTGCTATAGTTTCAAAAGAATTAGCTAATTTAATATAAACATGTAAGGACATTTCTTTCTCAGATTTCTGATTTTTTTTTTTTTTTTTTTTTTTACAGCTCGATGATGTTGAAAAAGAGGAGATTGAAGAAGAACGGGCAGCAGCAAAGAAGGGCTCTGGTGGAGCTAAAAAGCCCAAAAAGGTAAGTACAGAGTTTTAGATTAATGTATTTTATTGACTTCGTATCAAGCTGTAATTTTCCTGTGGAAGCTAAACAATTGGCTGGGATATCCATACTGTCAGCACACCATCATTACATCCTTTTCCCAGAACCTCATTCTGATGCTTAGGAATGTGATGAAGTTCAAGGAGATGGGAAGGAAAGTGCCTCGATACGAATTTAGCACCATTTACTTTGAACTTACCATATCATTTTTATTGTTATTTAATTTTTTTTTTTTTTTTTGCATTTTTTTTTATTATTATTATTTTTTTTTTTAGAAATATTCTAGGAATTATGTGTTGTTATTATTTAAGCCTATAGTGTGTAAGGAACTAGGCCTTTAGTTGAGTCCTGTCATTACATTGAAATCCAAGAGGGGCAAAAAAAAATTAAAAGAGAGTCTACAGTACTACTGTATTGTAATCTCAACATATACAACATTGGAGTTGTAGTACACTAACACTTTTTTATTGAACATGTTCAGGCCAAAACATACAGGTTCATCTTGTAAACACTGGTAACCTCACGATTGATACTTTTTCTCTTTTTCTTAAAAATTATCTGGTTTTGCACAATGAAATTATCTTAGACTTGTTGTAAATGATAATGAAACATGAAATTAGTGAATTTTGTAATTTTAAAGTACAGCATGTTCTTAAAATTTGCTGGGGTTTGGGTTTCAAAATGGCTGCAAATATCATGGGCAAATTTTTTACCTGTGTGCAAAGACGTGTATATTTACAAACAAACAAATAAATAATAATGGGAAAATCCTCTCACAAATAATCAGAAACAAAACAACAAAATGTACCAAAATATAGAAAAAATGTGAATACCCTCAAATCAACTTCATGCTTTGCAATTACTGTAAGTTGAGTTGGTTGGGTTGCCATATGGTAATTTTTTCCTCATAAAAATTACTGTTTCTAGAATGAATGGCATCTGAGAACCAATTGGGTTGATACTTTGATCAAACTTAAAGACTTTTGTAGCCATATAGCCAACCCAACATGAAGGATATCGGTAATGCGGTGTATTACTGAATACATTTTTCACAATATGTATGCAGGATGGTGTGTTCATGTAACTGATTAGATATAAATGAAGAAGGTTATTTATATCTACCCAAAAATATGAGTAAAAAAAAAAAACCCTCACTGCTTGGCCCAGTAGCCTGGTGATTACAATGATGAGCTAATCTAGCTACAATGCCATGATTTATCTCTGTTAAACACTATTAATGACAGTAAATCCTGTGAAATATGGCCGCAAAAATTCCGGAAGCTTTAAAACTACCTGCAGACATTCTTGGGTACATCCAGGGTGTCATTAGTGGATTAAAAATCTGCAAATTGTAAGGACATGCTGTATATACAGTTCAGTATATGGACAGTATAATTTGTATTTAATATAATTAAGAGCTTGCTTGTTGAGGGCTAGTGGGTGGTGAGATTGGAGTGGAATAGCCATAGATTGTTGTGTAAATTTATGCACATAACTACAATGTGATACAGAGGCATAAGGGGGGGGGGGAGGGATTTGAACATTTACTCTAATAACATCTATATCATATTGTGTAGAGTTATGTGCATAAAATTACACAAAAATCTATGGCTATTCCACTCCAATCTCACTGTCATTACCTTAACCTTTTCAAGTGTTGTAGTTATGAAACTGCAGATTCTGACATTTTGTCACATCAAAATTGTGAATTAGAATTGTCCCAGGAATATAAATCTAGAATTATGAAGCATTTTGAAAACACCTTGTAGAAATATATATTGAATTAAGAGATTATTTTAGGTAGAAATAAAGTTGACAGGAGTATTGTACAGTCCTTCATTATTTTGTTGCATGGTAATGATGTAGAAAATAGAGTTTAAGGTCAAGAATGATGCACTGTGTATTTCTAAAATAAATTCTTATTTTTTTGTGACTCCCATGAAGAGAGGTGGTGGAGAACTGGTAAGATAATTTCATCACATCTCTGATGCATGGTTGTGAATCTATTTAGATTGAAGATGATTAACATTGTGTTGATCATTTATTAATAAAAACACTGTAATTAGTGGGAGTTTCAGTGTCCCAACTTTAGAATGAGAAATGGACATAAAGTTTGGCTGAATTTTGCCTTTTCCCTTGATTTGTTTTAATCTTTATAAATTATTTTTCTATCTGTCTTTTTTTAGATGCAGTCTTTGTGTTTTCAAAACTTTAAATGTCCCTTAGTAGGAGTCATGTATTTGGCTATGTTGGAGATTGGCTTGACTCTTCCATCAATATAACAGTATTTTATTAAGAACTTGTACAGATTAAGCCCCCAGTGTTAGTTGATTGGAAACAGGCTTGAAGCGTTGAGTCAGGTAATTTGGAACCTGAGTTTGCAAAAACCTTTGCTGAGCCTCTTCCACATAGTCAAACCATCAGATCTATTGTGTAGCTCCTCAAGTTTTGACCCTCAGATGACTCGGCTGCAAATAAACACAAAAGTTATTTATAAGCAGTGTGGTTATGTGATGGGATGGTTCATGTTGCATAAACTTGAGGGTTTTGAACTTTTACAAGGTCTATGCCTGATTTGTAGTGTAGTCTCTTAGCTACAATATATGTTGGAGCACCATCTCCATGGTCAGATACTGGTCAGGTGTGTCTGTGCATTGATTTTTTTGGGGGAGAGTACTGGAGAGAGAGAGATCTACCTGTGAGGATGGTAGTGGTTAAAAAAAAAAACACTGCTCCCAGTGCTTGTTGCAGGTATAAACTGGTGTGGTGGCATGTGGACACATCCTGGCACCTACCAACCACTGCCCCATTGCCTTGCGGATTAACCTTGCTAGGTATAAGGCTGCGGGAGTAAACCCCGAACGAAAAATTTGTGGTGGAGCCCCACACCAGACAGACATGCTTACAGAGCTCCAACAAGATCCCAATGGCGGTATAGGCGGAAGAGGTGAGCGACAAGGGTGTGGTCATCTGCTTACTGTAATTCAGTAATGGAAGCTGCCGACACTTTTGTTCCTGCTTGGAGTTGTCTTATGTTGAAAAGACCCTTCTTCCGGTACTGGATGTGTCAGTACACATCCTTGCTTTACCCCTGTTTGGATGGGGAAGAACTCACCAGATGCCATTGTGTAGGACACTGCCTTTCATGCCATTGTGTAGGACACTGCCTTTCATGCCATTGTGTAGGACACTGCCTTTCATGCCATTGTGTAGGACACTGCCTTTCATGCCATTGTGTAGGACACTGCCTTTCATGCCATTGTGGAGTTGCCTCATAATGTTATTGAATTTTGGTGGGCAGCCAAAACGCTAAGGGTCCAATGGAGGGCTTCCCTGTTGACAGAGTCGAAGGCCCTGGTTAGGTCAATGAAAGCCTTGTGCTGGTTACGACACTGTTCTCTGCACTTTTCATGTATCTGGCGGGCAGCAAAGATCATGTCGGTGGTGCCACGTGATGGTCTAAAACCACAATAAAGATTCTTGGAGGAAGTTTTCTGCCTCTGTCTTCAGTAGATGGCAGCATGATGAGTAGGCACATGATCTGCTAGCACAGCTCACTGTAGTGTTGTTCCCTGGTGACAAGTTCCCTTGAGTCTGAACAACTGCAGTCTAGGATGCAGTTGTTGAGACTTAGGGAGAGTTATAATTTGTTTAAAAGTGTTTTGAAATGATGGAGTTAGTGTTGAAGTGAAAAAAAGTACATGCTTCTTTTTTGCTGAATGGGGAAAATTATCCGTATTTTCTTTTCTAACACTTTGTCACAATTTCTGTGCTTTATGTAATGTATATATCAAATAATATGAGTATATTTCTTGATGAAAGTGATGAAAAGATTTCTCTTGCCTATATTTGATCATGGTAAATATTTTCATTCACACAGGGCATTGATGTGACTAAGCCTTCAGCCTTTGGAGAGAGAGTATTGCCTCTCATTGATAGTGAATTGAGGAAGAAAGTTGAGAAGGCACTTGCAGCCACTCGAATTAAAAAGGTAAGTTTATTTATTATTTTTATTTATACATATATCTTTTTTAGTGTACTTAACATTAATTCTTTTTCAACTTACTGTAGCTTTCATTTGTCCAACGTTCATACTGTTTCTGTACACTACTGCTTTTGCATTAGCTTCTCAAAGATTTTTATATAAGTATAACTGAAGAAATTATGTAACAGTAAGTCCTCGTTTAACGTCGTGGTTCTGTTCCCGAAAACCAAATCGTTAACAGAATCAATTTATCCCATAAGAAATAGATAAAATACGGGAGTTACATTCCCCGGCCCCCCTTTGCCGCATAAAATACATTACATATACATAAATTCAATGGAATTTTTATAGAAAATAGTATACTGTATATTATACAGGTACATCCAAAAAAGATAAATAAACAAAATCATTTTGTATTGTACTCACTGATGGGCGGAGGTGGAGCAAGTGTGTGGTGGGTAGTGATGAGGAGAAGGGTGGGAGAGGAGGAGGGTGACGAGATCACTGAGACCCGGAGGGTGGCTCCTCCTCCTGCTCTGACTGGGTGAGAGAGGGTGAGGCGCCGTACAAAGTAGTCTGTGACGACGTTATACTGAATCGGCTGGATGTTGTCTGAATCATGGGTATCTAAAGAGTAGAGACGTATAACGAAACAACGTTGTCGGGGGCAACGTTAAACGAGGACTTACTGTGCCACATAAATCATGATACTGAAACCCCACTGTAAGGAAAAATAAAACCCAAAAATGAGAGGGGGGGTGGCTTTGGTCATATCTTTTACAAGTTAAATAGCTTAATCCTAAGTATCAAATAAAGTAATAGGAAGTGGGGGATAAACTCCCTTCACTTGATGTCTATTAGCAGAGATGTTGGAAAATTAAGTTTCACAATATATAAAGTCCACCCATTCATGAAATTCCACTTTTTTAGTAACTGTCTTGGTCTAAGTGTGAAAGGAGTGTTGCTTCAGGACCTTTTCTGGTTTCAATGCTTTCAGAAAGGAAATGGGTCGTGTTAAAACCACTTGAAAACAGTCTTCTCACAATTTCATCAGCATATACCATTACTAATATGTTGCTGTCTTGCAAAGCTTAAAGCAAAATTTCATGTTTGAACGTTGCTCAAACTACGATACAGTATTTCTGCAAATGCACCAGATGCCACAGTGACATCCTCATTCAAAGCCATGCCATGGCGCACTGGTGCATTCTGTAATGGTGTACAGTGGGAACTAATAGGTTGGATGATGTAAGCCCCACCCACAGGTCTAACCATAGTCACTGATTCCATGGTAGCAGTACTATTCACCAAACTTTTTGATCACCCCCATGAGTGGCCACCATTAGGGTGTGACAGTTGCCCCAACTTTGTCCTACAATGCTGTTCAAAATTTTGGTGTTGCATATTAACAAAAAATACCCACATGCAGTTTTTTTAAGATTCATGCATATTTGAGTGAGCACCAGCAATTTGAAAAATAGCGATTTTGCTTATACGGCATACAATCCTATATATGAGATTACACAATCATTATAAGGGATATTAACACAAATCATTTGCCTGTCTTAATTAAAAGCTGTTATCACTAACACAAAAAAGTTAATCATTCTTATTCTCTCGTGGTACATTAAGGTGTTTTATCATATATTCACAAGGTATTATTTCTCTAGAGCAAAAAACCATGATTTCTGTTCGGAAACAGATGATCATTTGCGCTGATTAGGAACGCGGAGTCTGTCATTTTCAACTACAGTACTTGAAGGACTTCTTGAAAGCGCTCCTCATCCCTGGCAACATTAAGAAAGTCATGGCAAAGTTTTACACCACGCTCTGCAACCTCATTGACGACCTGAAGCTTGTCCACAACCCGTTTCATGTTCAGGTAATCGTCATGATCTGCCCTTTCACTGGCTGGACTGTGGAGAAACTGATAGGGCATACCTAAAATGGTGAAGAACCGGCTTGAGTCAGGCCCAATTAGGTCCACCAGGGCAGTGCCACTTTCTGGGACAGGGGGAAGATATGGCTTTCCATAGCCCCCGTGATTGAGCCCAACTCTCTTAGTAACTTCAGTGCCTTCATGACAAAGAAGGGCCTTCCTCATCTCCTCTTTTGTCCTTTCTTGTACTTGGGACAAGAACAAAGCCAGTGGGGCCAACTCCTCAGTTAGGTACCAAGTGTGTCTACCGAGTGCCACACTTGCTTTGTCAACTATTGTGGCGTCATATGGGGCAAATTCAGCCAAGGTTTCAACCAAATTCAAGTCATTCAGTGGCGCACTTGCTGGAACGGGGCAAACAATCCACCATGGGACATAAACAGCGACTGTGAACACAGCAAACCGTTCTAACTTGCTGATTTGACTTTTAGTCACAACCTCGGCTTTGGGAAACGCTCTTTGATCTGGCCTGACAAAAGAACAATCTTAAGGGTATAGAGCAGTTTAGCCATCCACCTTGCTTTGTGAAGTGCTCTGGGGTAGACCATCGTGAAGTTCACTGGCTCGGATCCTTTAGTTACAAGCAGCAGACAAAGCTCTACCAGCTCCTTGTAGTCGCCACGTGTAAATGGTTGGGCTAGAGATTCACGGAAGAAGTCAGCCATCTCCTGTTGGCGCTCCTCAAACACTCCAGGCATTGCGGGGTAGTAGTATTTCTTTTTTTCATTGTACGCCAGTTGAGAGAAATGGGTCTTGAACCTAGAAATGCAATTATTGGATTATTGTATTTTGTACTAATCTATAATATTGTTTTAGGGGTATTAAGATTGATGTGATCGATCATTTGCTTGGTGTTAGTATATCTTATAAGTCTAATAAAAGAAATTCCACTAAATTTGTTCATTAGATAATAATATTCCTTGTTATTTTGTAAAGCCGACGGTGCTAGCTCAAACATGCACCGATCTCCAAGAAAATTTACAGGGGTGTTTCCTAGATAAATACACAACACTTAAACTTTGAACAGCATTGTAGGACCATTTTTTTATATTTGGAGGGGAACGGTCACACCCTAGCCACCATACCACGCCACTAACAGCCTTTTGTTAAAAATAACAAAATAAAATTAAATAAAAATTAGTGGAATGTTGTAGTTTTTCTTGAATAAGTATCACTTGAGTAATTAAAACAAAAAGACTCGATGACTTTAACTATCCAAGTACAGTATGTCTGAAGGCACATCACTTTCCTGTGCAGTTTTCTTCCCAGACACTGTCATGTCCCCCAGCTTGTCTCCCCATACTCCACACTTTCTTAATAAAAGACAATGAAAATAACATTTATGACAGACTTTTCTCTTACCTCTCCTTTATTAAAGATATTGAAAATGTGAACGAGATTAACTTTTTTTTAGCCATACATGTATGAAAGATTATGAAAACTAAATGAATAACTGATATTTTATTTTCCTTGTGTACAAAAGATAATGAAAACTAATGAATGATGCTGACTTACCTGATGATGTTGATGCTCTGGATAAATAAGGCTCAACTGAAGATAACTGACGGGGTTCTAGTATTGGTGTCTAAGGCTTGAAGTAGCTGTTGATGCTTGTCTGAACAGCTTAAATTTTCTTAAGCTTGTACATGTCCTTGAAGCACTGTACAAGATCCTCAAACCTCGCCTTAACAACCCACTTTGCTCTATACTCTGTATTTGTGTCATTTTTAATAGACACGGCCATCCTTTGCTCAAAACATTTGAATGCTTCTGACACGGAAATTGTTCAGCTTCTTCACACTCACCATGATTGGAGGAAAACTGAAAACACAACTGACATCCACTGCAAGCTCTCCACACTCCATATGCTTGGTTATGTCTAAACTGATTTCCTGGCTGCAATACTAATGGGATTGTTTGCTGAATGGTTTCCAGGAATGCGGATGGTTGATGTTAATATTAGGCTCAAAAATTGTCCATGGAACTGCACTATAGCGCATTTTTTCCCAGCTGAGAAAAGATGCCCCGCCCCCTCCTCAAGAGTTACAGCTCATTGGCTGTTGCAAACCTGTCCGATTTTGTCCTGAAGTAATGATGTATTTCTAAATGAGTATTAATACTCGTTGGTATGACCGTTTCTGACGAGAAAGATATTTATCTAAATTTTATAAAGATACATACATTTGTTATTTCAAACAGAAGCACGCATGAAGTTTATCAGAAATATAAGTAAAAGTCCAAAAATCCGGATGCCAGAAATCCGTACCACCCGAGAATCCGGACTTTTTTTTTTTTAAGCTGGCTTTTGTGTGTATGTGCGCATGTGTGAGCGCCACAGCTGCACAGCAACAACAAGCGACTACGCGGTCACCACTTTAAAGCGAACAATCAAACTGTGACAACGTATGTAATTTTGGGTCCTACTGTTTCCATTTACAGAGTACTGTACAAGCCCATAATAATGGCTCCTAAAGTAGATAACTTCGTTGTGTGAAGAGAAAGAAGAACACATTGAAATTGAGTGACAAACTTGAAATCATTAGGAAACTAGAACGTGGTGTGAGCAATACTGTTCTAATGGAAACATACGACATTGGAAAGTCTACAATTTATGATATAAAAAAGGCAAAGAATAAAATTCTAGAATTCACAGCTTTTTCTTTAAAACCGCTTGTTTTGATAAATGAAGCATGCTATATTTGCTAATGAATAAACTATCAAAATATACCTGTTCATCTCTTCTTTATTCCTCCTTAAATTTGAATTTTAAAAGTCCTGCCTGAGACTCCGGAAAATCCGAAAATCCGGACAAACCCAATCCCCAAGTAGTCCAGATTAACTGTTAAACTTTAGTGGCAAATTGATGCTTTTGGAGGATGCATTAAATATACAGGTACTCCTCGACCACCTGGACATACGACCGCCGCAGTCGTATGAAATATTTTTCAAATTATGTATTTTCGAGTCCCGACGTTAGTGATTGCGCTGTGTACTGACAAAATTTTTGTTTGTAATTCCCTTTAAAATGGCTGGCAAGCGTAAAAGTGAGAGTTCTCGTTGTGCTGAGAAGAAAAAGAGACACCCATTTTAGATTTTCTGTGTATTATTTTCGCATTTTCGACTTACGACCAATTCAACTTATGACCTGGTCGTCGGTCCTTAACCCCGTCGTAAGTTGAGGACTGACTGCATACTTATTTTTACCCACAATTAGTCATACTAAGACAAATTACGTATCAATAAAACTACATTATGCAAAAACTAACATTTTAAAAGATCAGAATCACATTGAAATATTACACGACCGTCAGCAGAGGCGAGAAATATGACTGAAAACAACTTCATATTTTTCCGCCTCTGCTGACGGCTGTTCGCTGGAGCGACCAAGTCTGTCACACTCATCTACCAATTTTCAGGGGCCGTGTAATATTTCAATGTGATTCTGATCTTTTAAAATGTTAGTTTTTGCATAATGTAGTTTTACTGATACATAATTTGTCTTAGTACAGTATGACTTATTGTGGGTAAAAATAAGTATATATTAAATCCATCCTCCGAAAGTGTCAATTTTTTACCAGAGTTTAACAGTTAATTCATGTACAGTGGTCCCTCGGTTAACGAACTGCCTCCCATAAGATTCTTAAATTCGGTTAATGAATTTCTTACGAACCGACCTCAACATGTTTTCACTTGCACTGGCCGGTCAACCAGCTTTAGTAATAGTCCGCCAATACATTAATCGGTTCTAGGGCTTAAATTCCTTACTATTTTAGTAAATATCAAGAAGTTTATACTATTCAATAATTTTAAAAGTTTAATATTAAATTTTTTAGTCATTTTAACAATTATTGAACATAATTGAAGGTAAAGTGACTAGTTTAATGCGCATCCAGCCTCTTAACACAGCAAACAGGCGTTAGTCTCTCTTTTCACTGGAGGTAACATCTTGCTTGAGACTCTCTTCAACTAAACGCTTTTTTTCTGTGTTTCCAAGCAAATTATTGGTCATTTTGAAATATATTTTATATATTGACAATATATAATGCAGTGCAGCGTTGATTTAAAGAAAATAATCTTGAAATACACCAAGAGAGCTAAAATTTTATGGGTGAAATGGCACCATGGGGTGACTTCTCTTCCACCCCAATGCCTTCTCTTCTTCCTTCTCCTCCACCCCCATTCTAATTCCCATCATCATCATCCAGGAGCCTTCTACATACACACCTCAAAGTAAGTGAACTTTTCTACCATTTTTGTTGAATTTAGGCAATTTTCAGTGAGCTGGAACCAATTACCCAAAAACCCATTGAAACAATGGTTTCGGTTAACGAACAACCTGCTGGAACGGATTGTGTTCGTTAACCAAGGGACCACTGTATAAGATTTCTGATAAAGTTACTATGTGCTCATGTTTGAAATAATGAATGTAAGTATCTTTATATAAGTAAGCTAAATATCTTTGTCGCCAGAAACGGTCATCGCAATGATTATTAATAAACTCGTTTATAAATACCTATACATTATTACTTCCGGACGAAATCGGACAGGTTTGTAACAGCCAATCAGCTGTAACTCTTGAGGAGAGGGCGGGGCATCTTTTCTCAGCTGAGAAAAAATGCGCTATAGTTGTCATCAAGGCAGAAAGCACAGGATTGAAACTGGTGCGTGTGAGATTCAAAACAACGCCATGTTATACTATTAAACGACTATATCTTAACGACCTTGTTTGGTACGATGTAAATCAACGAATGCCTATGGTTTTGATAAATTCTGTTAAAAATGTAAGAAAGGATTCTTTTTCTCTAATACTGTACTTATATTTTCTCTAAAATAGCAGGTTAAGAAGGAGGTTGTGGAGAATGACGATTTTGATGATTTAGTGACAGCAAACACAGGCAAGTCTTTGGCTGCTCGTCTTGGCAACTCACCAGACATGATCATGAAGAAAGCAAAGACCAAGAAAACAGGGGATGGGCTGAAGCAGACAAAGATTAGTTTCAAAAAGGTTTGTGCATTTAGTAGATGATTAGGAATTAATTTGCCAGTTATGTGAAAGCTTGTCATTGAAATTTTTGTCTGGAATATTGGTGTGATTTTTCATAAAAGAAAAAATTCTCTTAGGCATCTCCTAAAAAGAGGAAAAGCAAAAATCAGTTCGATTCAGTGAGTGAAGATGAAGTGGACGATATTAAAAGTGACATATCTGCTGAGGATATTATACCCAGAGGACGTACTTCAGGACGACGAACAGCAGGTACTGTAATGCTTTGATTATAATATAGTGGGTATTTTTCATTTAGAGTTTTACAGTAAGGATGTATGTGTATGACATAAGATGTATCTGGATGAAGTATATTCATACCAGTTTAAAGGCATATAAGTAAAGCATGTAGAAGAATAAATGGAAAAAATGTGCTTTTGGTAATTATTAAGACAAATATTTCCTAGAGTTATTAAGTAGTACTGTACTGTGCTACTTTGCAACTTGCAAAATACTTAGGAGAGGAGATGCTTGTAATAATGATAAATTTTTTGAAGAGTACTAAAGGGTAAAAACCCTTTTACTGTGGGAGTTTCCACTAAGCTGATTAAAGTTGTCTGGCGGTGGCCAAAATAAAGTGACGAAGAGTGGGAATTGTTTTGAATGGGTGAAAAGAGAAAAAATAATGTTCTGACTAATTATGCATTGGGGATATATCCCTGGATTGTGTTGAGTTCAGCTGCTTGGGTAACTTGATCAGTGTAGGAGGTAGAGCTGGCTGGAGGAAGATTTGGGAGCTATTGTCTTTATTTATGACAAGAGAATCTTCTCATCGTGTGGAAGGAAAGATGTATGTAATCGGTGTGAGAAGGGTGTTGTTGTATGGCAGTAAACATGGGCAGTTGAAGTGGATGACATGTAGACTTGAGTGAGCTGAAATAGGAAGGGTAAGACGGATGTGTAATGTGACATGGAAAAACAGGAAACCTTGGAAGGAGCTAAGAGGGCAGTTAGCCATTGAGAGTACAGTAAAGCCTCGAATAACGGCGTTAATGTGTCCTCCAATATTGCAGTGTAAGGTGAATCATCGTATCTTGAATCATTGATTACCATTAAAATAAAGCAATAATAATGAGATGCCTTCCCAAGTGTAACCTTTTCATATCTTTTGTGTGGCTTTTCCCCCAAAAAACAATACAAGTAATGAAAATTGCAAACTATATTCTTTAAATAGTGTTTCTGAATGCACCTTATACAATATAAATGAATAATAATATGGTCACTCAAGAGGGGATGGGACGCCATCGTTTGTGTTTAAAGCCGGGAGTCCGGATTTATAGTTCTACGTGAGAAAATTAAGAAAATAAGACCCTGGTTGTAGCTGTAGTGAACTTAATTGAAAAAAAAAATGAATACATGTATGTATGTTTTAAGTAATGTTATTTAATTTTAATAAATGGAATACTAGAAGTAGCTAACCACTAATGGGAGAGAAATAAGGCGAGATGATTGGGAACGCCAACATATGAACAGTACTGTAAGTGCGTACATGTGAAAACATATCGTCATTTCTCTACATATGAATATGAAAGCAACACTTATTTACTGTTCATATATGTTATTAATAATATTTACAAATGTAAAACAAAAATTCTACTCAACAATGGTGAGTTTATTTAAATTTTAATGCTTTGTTCTGTTAATGGATCCACTTCAGAAAATGTGTTCATTGCTTGCTCCATATAATATCCACAGACCTCTCACCTTTTTCATATCTTTTTAACACATCTAGTTTCTAGGCTAAGCTTATACACTTTCTCTTAGCTTTTGAACCAACACTACCATCACTTACTCATGCTGAATAGGGATGCAAAAATGCTGTAAGAAACTTAAGAAAGTTTTTCTCCCTGTTCGAGATAAGCGAAAACAAAAGGCCCGCCAAGCTCTGACTGTTGTTTACCACTCATTAGCCAGGCAGCTTCTTTGCGCAAAGCGCACTTCATTTTTTTTTTTAGTATTTATTTATTTATTTATTTATTTATTTTTTTTTTTTAATACATATCGGGATTTAGTTATTGTTTATATGAAAATGTAATTTTATTTTATACTTATTATATTTTGGTCATAAATACAAATGAACTAAGGACGTAAATTGAATTGGGTCCTAAATTAACTAGGGTTTTAAATGTGAAAAGTTGTTGGTCGAACCATTGTTATCGGAGGCTTTACTGTATTGGTGAGGTTTTGCAGAGGTAGTCTGAAATGGCTTGGGTGTGTGAAGGGAATGGAGAAGATGTAGACCAAGAATGACATGGGGAGGCTGTAAGAAATAACTTTAGCGATAAGTATTTGACGAAAGGCTGCAAAAGACTGTGCAGCATGGAGAGATGCCATCAGTTAACCCCAAGGCTTCGGGTCATGTCATATGGCATTTTGATCACTCACTCAAGCATGAGAACCTCCCAGTCTCTTCTCATTAGCTTCTCAGATTTTGTGTTGTAGGAATCTTGCCCTTGGACTGACTCATTTCACCATGTGTTTCTACCCCCAAGCACATGTATAGTATCGTGATCAATTACTGGAGCAGTAGAAATTACTGTTAATAGTGTACAGTACTCCCTCTTTATCGACGGGGGTTACGTTCTGTAAACGGCCGTCGATACCGTGATGGTTACGTAATTTTTCTAACTATTATTAGCATATGTTGAATAAATGTACCTTTAAGCATTAATGCGTTTCCTTTACACATAACCTTAAATAATAGTGTATAAATAATAATATAATAAGTGGACAAAAATACTAGCAAACTTACGATTTCATTTATTGAAGTGAACATCGGTCCTTACAGTAAACAAAACAGTGTACAGTACAGTAAAAGTCCAAAAATCCGGATGCCCAAGGCAAATTGTTTACCATTTATTATTACAACACTTTACACTGAAACGCGGGTAGTTTCAACAAAAATATTGTATATTTCCATTCAAGTATTTATTCAAGTCAATTAGGAGGGAATATTATTGTAATACAACAGTTTTTTAACTAAACCATTCGAAAAGTGATTACGGTAACATCTTTTGAACGAAAGAAAGTGAGTCATTGTTTTCGTCACGATTTGATCCCACTTTCCACTTTAATACGTACGTCATTTCAACAAAAATATTACATTTCCGTGAATGTATTATATCAAGCACAGTATGAATAGAATATCATTGTAATATAACAGAATTTTAACTGAAAACTATTAAAAAAACGAGTAACATCTCAAGAACATCGGAAGCTTAGGTAAAGTCTTTTGTTTCCGTCATGTATTTTATCCTATTTTACATTGAAATACATCACGTTTCAGCAAAACTACTATTTATTTCCGAGAATATATTCATTCAGGCGCAGTTTAGGTAAAATATACGTGTGATGTAATAATTTTTTAACTGAAAACGATTCGAAAAACACGTACCCTCTAGCCCTGTTCAAGGAGAGGACTGGGAGAAGCTGTTTGGTGCTGCAGACGATGACAAGGAAAATGATTTTGATGGATTTTAATGAAAATATTCAGAAATATGGTATCGTAATATTTATTCAAGTCAATTAGGATATTATTGTAATACAATACAACAGTTTTTTAACTAAACCATTCGAAAAGTGATTACGGTAACATCTTTTGAACGAAAGAAAGCGCAAGTCATTGTTTTCGTCACGATTTGATCCCACTTTCCACTGTAATACGTACGTCATTTTAGCAAAAATATTACATTTCCGTGAATGTATTATATCAAGCACAGTATGAATAGAATATCATTGTAATATAACAGAATTTTAACCGAAAACTATTAAAAAAACGAGTAACATCTCAAGAACATCGGAAGCTTAGGTAAAGTCTTTTGTTTCCGTCATGTATTTTATCCTATTTTACATTGAAATACATCACGTTTCAGCAAAACTACTATTTATTTCCGAGAATATATTCATTCAGGCGCAGTTTAGGTAAACTATACGTGTGATGTAATAATTTTTTAACTGAAAACGATTCGAAAAACACGTACCCTCTAGCCCTGTTCAAGGAGAGGACTGGGAGAAGCTGTTTGGTGCCAAAATAAAAATCCGGCTAAATAATCCGTCGATAATCGAAACCGTCGATAAAAAATCCGTCGATAAAGAGGGAGTACTGTACATAGTAATAATATAGTAAAACACGTGTCCTGTGCCTCATACTGCCGACATAGCAGTGTTGTTTATCTCATACTGTTTAGCCGTGCGCGTGCATACATACACACGCACAAAGCTTCATGAACATTCTTGATTCTTTCTAGCCCATGTGTTGCCAACCTGTGGTAAGGACGTGTATTTCTTTTCTACTAGTAGTGTTACTAGAAATTTTGAAAATTTGGAAAAATTTTGCAATACTAAATTGGATATGTGTTACAGTACACAGTTCCTCATTAATATATTGTTCATCATTTTCATTATTGGATTTGCCCCTGAAATGAAATACTGTATATAGTTTTTGTCATTTCTTCTTTTTAATGTGAATATTTTTTATTACAGCAAGCAGAATTAAGTTTAACTTCAGTGAAGATGAAAGCTCCGAGAGTGACGAGGGACCAATGTTTGACAATGATGGTGTTGAAGAACCTGATGTAATTACCAGCACTTCATTGATGGATAATTCTCTTGTCACTGTCAAGTAAGCATTACATTTTCATTTGTCAAAATGTATTTATTTTTAATTAGGACGGCATACTTTGTTTCTATAGTAGAACGTTCATATAGCACGAGAATCCGAGATAGGTTCCAAGAGAGGTCGCTTTAAACCTAATTCAAACCAAATTCGCACTAAATTGAAGTGTTGTTTCAATGGAATAATTTAGTTTGGTACTTGAAAGAAACACAAAATACTAAAAAGACAGAGAGTCTACCCAGATGCACCTCAGCCCATCTCCTAGAATAAACAAAACATTGCTTTTTGTAGTTTTATGTTAAAACAAACACTCATAAATCAACACAGCTAAAATTAAGGGATGCGAAATGGTCTGTTTACTGGCTGGGAAGATGGGTGGAGGGAGGTGAGGTGATATGTTTGACAGTTGATGCCAAGGTCTAGTGCTTATTTATTTATCTGTCCTTAAGAGTGACTTTAACTTTTTCTCTTATAAAATGTCACTAAACTGACATGGGAGAATGTAATTAACATTGCTGGAATTCTTATAAGATCAGGAATAATCATTGGAGCAGCATCACTTTAGAGCAGGGGTCACCAAACTACGGCCCGCGGGCCGGATCCCAAGTCCTTCCCCGGCTCGTGGTAGCTCCGCCTACGCTCTGACGTTACCAGAGCTTTCGTTCTGGCTTGCAAGTATTGTACAGAATGATTATGCGGCCCGCGCTCGTCATTCTTTCAGTTATCCGGCCCACTGTGAAAAAAGTTTGGTGACCCCTGCTTTAGAGTATTGTAATTATTTATTTTTCTTGCCCAAACAATCACGTACAAGTGATAAATAAGCTGAGCTAGCTCGTGAGATGCTGGGTGAGTTGGCTCACGCAAGAGCAAGATACAAGCAGAAGGGCGGTTCAGGGGGTCAAATGTGTATCAGCGGGGTTGAATGCTACTTAGGATATGTGTACTTTGAGATCCTACTGTACTAGAAACTTAAAATGATTAGCTGCTAACCTTATCAAATTGAGGGGGAGGTCAAAATATTATTAATATTTCATGATTGTAACTCATTGTACTAATGTTTTTCTATAATCACTTACATATTGCAGGGAACCTGTGGAAAAACCCAGAGTAGCATTAATAGTTAGTGACACAGACTCGGATTTTGAAGATAAACCAAAGAAAAGGGTCAAAATTTCTCCTGTGTCTAAAGGTAAGTTGAATGATACACTCTTAATTTTTTCCATTATATCAACTACAGTACTTTCTTTAAGTTTTCACGAAGGAAAAGTTGTTGGTGCATTGAGGTGATTATATATTATAATTGTGGTGTTGAAGCACTTTAATGGTGTGATTTAAGGGTCTGTTTAGCTAAAAGACGGCACTTTAACAAACTTGGAATATATCCCCATTGATACCATGGCAAAATGTGTTCGTTGTACGATCGTTCTCTCAATGATTGGGTTTTCAGGAATGCAACTCGATCTATCATATATTGGGAGATGCCTGTATAATTTGTGTGTGTATGTATATGCAGCTATGTATAGCTATTCTACTAAAGAGGTGTTTACCACTGAACTATCCTTGTGTGTCTTTGAAAAGTCTGAGAATTCCATGTAAATTTTGAGGATATGTAATTTTCACAATTATAATGTTCAGCATAACATGGGAAAGTTGCTGAGTGTTCTTCCTGCTTTTATTATTGGTGGGAAAACTGAATACAGTATAGTAAACTGTGGGGTTTTTTTTAATGATTTTTACCCCATCACTTGGCTCGGAGGATGATCTGTGATGGGGTTGTGAACATTTTAGCTGAAGTAAGAGGTCACGTTGTTAGATATAAACTAGGTTACCCCATATTTATGTGAATATGTTCTATTATGTTTTGTGTTAGTTGTGGAATAAAGCACCGCTTTGAATGCGCATGTTATGTTTGTTTTGTTTTTATGGATGGTCCCGAAAATATATGGAAAGAGCAACATCGTTTGTGTCATTGTCTGAGCCTCTCGCATCATATTTCGTTGATATCCACCAAAAATGAACACCGTAACTTTAAACAGGTTATGGGCCCAGGCACAGGTTGGTGTTTGATGGTGATGAAAGCAAGTATGAGTTGTGGCAAGTGAAGTTCTTAGGTCATTTAAGACTTCAAAAACTCCTCGATGTCGTTTATCAAGATGGAGACGGTGCAAAGGTGACGGAGAAGAACGCTGGAGTGTTTGCAGAACTAGTCCAGTACCTCGACGATAGAAGTCTTTCCCTTATTATCCGAGATGCCAAAGATGACGGTAGGAAGTCATTAAAGATTCTCCGTGAATATTATCTAGGCAGCAGCAAGCCAAGAATAATTGCCTTGTATACAAAACTGACATCACTCAAGAAATCCAATGAAGAGACCATTACCGACCTTATTTGATACGGGCTGAAACGGCAGCAGCTTCATTGAAACTAGCAGGTGAAACCATCAGTGACAGTTTACTTGTAGCATTGTTATTAAAAGGATTACCTTTAGAATATAAGACATTTTCTACTGTTGTGATGCAGAAAGAAACAGCTGTTAGTTTTTCTGAATTTAAAGTACCATTAAGAAGTTTTGAAGAAACTGAAGTGTCAACAACAACAACAAGGTGACGATGCAGATAATGTGATGAATACAAAATTCAAAAATATGAATATGAAATACAGTGACCCCTCGTTTAACGAACGCCTCGGTTAACGAAATTTCGGTTAATGAACTGCCTTCCATAAGGATCTTCAATTCGGTTAACGAATTTCTTACGAACCGACCTCAACATGTTTTCGCTTGCACTGACCGGGCAACCAGCTTTAGTATCAGTCCGCCAATACATTAATCAGTTTTAGGGCTTAAATTCCTTACTATTTTAGTAAATATCGAGAAGTTTATACTGTTCAATATTTTTAAAAGATTAGTATTCAATTTTTTTGTCATTTTAACAATTATTGAACATAATTGAAGGTAAAGTGACTAGTTTAATGCGCGGCATCCAGCCTCTTAACACAGCAAACAGGTGTTAGTCTCTCTGTTTTCACTGGAGGTAACATCTTGCTTGAGACTCTCTTCAACTAAACGCTTTTTTCCTGTGTTTCCAAGCAAATTATTGGTCATTTTGAAATATATTTTATATATTGACAATATATAATGCAGTGCAGTGTTGATTTAAAGAAAATAATCTTGAAATACACCAAGAGAACTAAAATTTTATGGGTGAAATGGTGCCATGGGGTGACTTCTCTTCCACCCCAATGCCTTCTCTTCTTCCTTCTCCTCCACCCCCATTCTAATTCCCATCATCATCATCATCATCATCCAGGAGCCTTCTACATACACACCTCAAAGTAAGTGAACTTTTCTACCATTTTTGTTGAATTTAGGCAATTTTCGGTGAGCTCCATATTTATGTGAATATGTTCTATTATGTTTTTTGTTAGTTGTGGAATAAAGCACCGCTTTGAACGCGCATGTTATGTTTGTTTTGTTTTTACGGATGGTCCCGAAAATATACTGGAAAGAGCAACATCGTTTGTGTCATTGTCAGTAACTAAAGAAGTGTCGAGATATTGCAGTAGGGTTACTGCTGGTTTAAATATAAAATTTACATAGTAAGTGAGAAAAGAAATATGAGCAAGAAAAATAGTGTTGAAAATGAAAAATCTAAATTGGAAAAAAAAACAATCCAATGGAGATTTTTTTTATATACTATACAGCATGCCCTTAAAATTCACGGGGATTGGGTTCTCAAAATGCCTGCGAATAGCCAATTCCGCGAATAACATATGCTGACGAGGGGGGGGGGTACATTTTAACGTGTGCAAAGAAATGTATACAGTATTTCCTCTACGTGTTTGCCCTTCGGACAATTATTTCTTTTACCTGTATTGTATATATGATATATGTGTGTATGTGTGTGTGACACACACAAAACACATACAATTAAATAATAATGGAAAAGTCCTCTCACAAATAATCATAAACAAATTCATTAAAAGTGCGAGTCTGCCCTCTAGTCCATGCTTTATTAATAAAGTAATAAAACTTGGACTTGAGGGTAGACTCACATTGTTAATGAAATTTTTTCTGATTATTTGTGAGAGGATTTTTCCATTATTATTTATTTGTAACTGTTTTGTGTGTGTCACACACACATATATACAATGCAGGTAAAAGAAATTACTGTCTCTAGAACGAATGGCTCCCTGTCCCAGCCACGAAAATGCTGGCAATTTAAAACTACCCACAGACATTCTTGGGTAACTTAGTTATCCTTCCTCCTCCCAGGGTAATATTGTGAAATAGCTGGCAGTGAAGATTGGATTGTTGCAAGAGTCCTAGGTTATAACTAGCAAAGGAATATTGAGGTTTACACTGACATGGTGATCTGAATTGTTAGCCTTCTGCTTTGCATGGCAACATCTATATCCAGAGATCCCTCTCAGGGTTCTGAATATTTATGTAAGGCATCCCAAAACCATTGTTTTAAAGAGTTAATGTAGGTTGTAACTCCATAACATGTTTAGCTGCAAAATATGAGTTGCCTGTTTCCACCTGCTCATGAAATTATATTTCAGAATTAGCCCTCAATTTATTTACTGTACTCTTTTTTTTCTCTTGCAGAAAAACCATCAGCTTCTGATCTCTTTGATTCAATGATATCAGGATCACCAAGTCCTCCCAAACCAGAACCATCCAGTAAGTCAACCAGACAGTTTATATTTCTAGCCCTCTAAATGAATATCATGTTTTCTTACTTTGATATGTAGATCATAATGATGTGTTTTGTTGCAATAGGTTTTGCCGATTTTAAGGGGAAAGAATCAAAAGTTTACTGTAGCTATTGTAAAAAGTTGGTAATGGGAAGAGTGTGTGTGTGTGTGTGTGTACTTTTAATATATCTCCTGAATTCTGTTAATGGAGAGGCTTAAATTTTATCAGGGAGAAAATGTTTTTGGAAATTGTCAAGATGAGACTCCTTTGCATGCAAGAATTTGAAAAGGGTTTACCCCATTTTCTATCATTTTAATTCTGTTAATCTTATTTTTAAAGAAAATGGATAGACAAAGAAAGCAAATAAGACAAATTGAGAATTATAAAGAACTGAACAAAGAAATTAAAAATACTATAGACTGGATATAGAAAATTTATAAATAGGAAAGGCAAGGAGGTAGAAGATATTGACAGGATACAAAACAGAAAGGTTAAACAAAAGAACCAGAAATTATTATTTAAATGGGGTAGGACTATTAAAAGCATAGACAATAAGATCATATTTGTCTTAGCATAAGTAAAAGAGAGATGGGTAGATTATGTACAAGAACTATACAATGATAAAAAAGTGGAGGTGAGAAAAAAAAAGGAAATAAAGATCAAACTACCAATTTTAGAAATAGAAGTTCAGGTAGCTGTGAGCAAAATAAATTAAAATTCCAAGGCTTGTGGGATTGACCAGCTTCCAGTAGAATTTATAAAAGAAATTGACAAGAATGGGATCAAGTATTTGTCTAAAATATGTTAATTTTATATAATTTGAAGACCTTCCCAATGATTAATTTTTTTTTATTACCTTTAAAGCCAGGAGCCTTTGAGTGCATCCAGTTTAGATCAGTTACTATAATTCATGTCTGTAAATTAAGACTTGGAATAGACTTTGAGTTATCCAAATACTGTATCAAAATGGAGTTATAAAGGGAAAAGGCACCAGAGAAGCTATACAGTGCAGTACAGTCAACCCTCGCTTTACGTGGTCCCACTTTACGCGTTTCCACGTTTACGCGGTACCCTGCCGAACACGGAATGCTCACTTTCCGCGGTGCGTGTACCCCTTTACGCGGAGAGCGGCTGGCGGTCCTCTCGCGCCGCACCGTTTTTGGATCCAAACCTCCCGCTATGTTGTGTAAGCGGCGCGAGTAGGTTGCGCAGTGTATGTCTTTGTTGCATTATCGGTGACGTCATATGACGTAGCAGACTCTGATTGGGCAAAGCATCCTTACCTCCCTCCCTGCTAGCTGTGATTGGTTTAATGTAGTACTATGACGTGCTCCGCCGCGGGAGCGTTCAAGCCCCTTGACCTACCGTGTCAGTTACACCCCTCCCGGCTACATCGTGTATATCGGTATCCATTGTTCCATAAGAATGGCTTCCACCGGACCATCACCACCACCACAAAGAAACCTTGCATTACCTGGACCCAGCCGCCCTAAGCCAAAGAAGATACGACGTTCCTTAAGCTACGAAATCAAATATAATAATAATAATAATAATAATAATAATTAATGGTTTATTGAAAGAGCTTGGCAGCCAGAAGGCTGAAAATATACAGTTACATATTTGGGGAATGGGTTACGAATTACAAATAATATAAAAGTACATAAGTGACACAAATAAGACATATAATAACTAGATGGGGAAAAGCTCAAACTACAGTTCATTTCAACATAGTGACAGTGCAAGGAGTAGTGTTTACTGGGAGTGAATACACTGATTTATTACAAGTTATTGATAATTTTTACAATGGTTGGGACTGGGCTGTTCTTATAGCGATCAGTTCGTGCACTATGGGCTGGATGCGGTTGTGTCGAACAGCAATTCTGGGACTAGGGATCTCAGGTGGTAGTAGGAGCCGGTAGTCGAGGATGGTGTAGAAGCTTCTTACAAATTTGCAGATGAGGTCGTGGTGATGGTCAGTGAGAGTCGAAGGGTCAGTGTGTTGAGCGCTTCTTGATATGTGGAGTAGGAAGGGGAGAGAATAATCTTGCATGCCCTCTTTTGCACTTTTTCTAGGTGTTTACGTTGTGTGGCATTTAGGGAGGAAGACCAGGTGGGGGAGGCATAGGTGAGCTTGGGAAGTATGAATGTTGTGTAAACACTGAGGAGCTCGTGTGCAGGAACTCCGAGGGACTTGAGTCGGCGGAGGAGGTGGAGACGGAAACTGGAGGATTTGATAACTTCACTGACGTGTGGTTTCCAATTTAGTTTGTTGTCTATGGTGACGCCGAGGAGCTTCGTGGAATCTACAACCTGGAGTGTGTTCGGACCTAGAGTAATGGAAGGAGGTGGGACAATGTCGGAGGAGAGGTTGATGTGCATAACCATGGTCTTGGTATGGTTGATGGTGACATGGTTGTTGGTGGCCCAGTTTTGGAGACTGTTCAATAAATCCTGAAGGGCGGTATAGTTGGGAGCAGAATTGTTGACGCTGATCCCAATGGTGGAGTCGTCGACATATTTCCAGCGAGCAGGGGGTTTCTCTTAGGGCATCATTGATGAGCATAAGGAAGCAGAGTGGTCCCATCTTGGTGCCTTGGGGACGCCACAGGTGAGTGACTGAAAGGTGGAGACAGCCCCTCGGAAGCGTACAGCTTGGCGTCGGTCACTGAGGAAGTCTGTAAGCCATGGTATAAGACTTCTCCGAAGCCCGAGGTCAATAGCTTTGTTGATGATTATATTGTGGTCGACTAGGTCGAAAGCTTTAGTGAAATCAATGAAGGCGACAGCTACAGACGTTTTTCGTTTCTCGAGATGGCGGTATATGTAATCGAGAAAGCTGACAAGACAGTGAGTGGTGGAGGAAGTTTTCATGTTAAATTGCTGAGGGTCTACGACTCCTGCAATATCAGCATAAGCCCAGTCGAACACAAAACTTTCACAGATTAGGCTGGGTATTGGGGTGATTGCAATAGGTCGTAGCTGATTTAAGGATTGTGGGCTGGTTGACTTGGGCACTGGTGATACATAAGAGGTCTTCCAGTCAGCTGGGCATCTGGCTTGACTGAGAGAAGCATTGATGATGGAGCATAGGGGTTTAGCAAGCTCCGGGGAGAACTCCTTGAAGAGTTTCATTGGTAAGTCAATGGGGGTGGTAGAGCGTTTTAATTTTAGTTTGTCCAGGCGTTTTGCTACTTCAAATTCTTCTACTAAGTCAGTGGGAAGGGGGGCTGGTAGGTAAGCAGGGAGAGTGGTTGTGTCAAGCCGGGGGAGCGTCTGGCATATAGTAGCGAAATGGTTATTTGTTTGCTCAGCTGCGTCAACATTAGTGAGATGGCTAAGGAAGGGGAGGGGGTGTGTCTTATTGTTTAGTCCACAGAGTTCTTTAAGCTTACCATACCATTGACTGATGTTGGTCTGCTTCAGGTGTTGTAATTTGGTTGGGTAGTGGGACTTCTTTGCAGTGCGTATTTCGCGGATGACTCGGTTGCGAAGGGACCTGTAGCGGATGTGGTCATTGAGATGAAAGGCTCTGTCTCTCTGTTGCATAAGTCTTTTGATCCGAGGTGTGATCCAGGGCAAGTCAGCTGGGTGAGATCTGACGGACTTCTCGGGGAAGAAGTGGTGGTGAGCTTCCGTGGTGGTGTTGGTATAATTTATCCATTTGGTTTCCACGTCATCCACGCTAAGTACTTCAGTCCAGGGATGGTGAACTATCCACTGCCCGAAGAGGCGCACTGCAGAGTCAGTAATCGGCCTGTAGGTCTTGATGTAGGGTCTCTGTACTTGAGTGGGAGTGGCAGCTGGGGACCAGAGCACTGATAAGTGTGTGCTACACCCGATAGGAGGCATTGGTTGAGGTGGTTGGTACTGGTCCGCTAAGTCAGTTAAGATAAGGTCAAGGGTATTTTGACCGTGTGTGGGGAAGGTCACAACTTGTGATAGTGATAGCTGGTCCTGGATATCAGTGGTGTCAATTTCATTAAAATCCCCACATAATACTAACTTGGCACATGGGTACCTAACTCTGAGGTGGTCTGAGGTGGTGATGAGATGATTGATAAGAGTGTCTCTGGTGGGTGAGCGAGGCGGATGGTATGCCACACAGATTATGATGGAAGCAGTGTTGCGCGGGTGGGCCCGTAGCACGACACGTACCCATAATGCTTCCACATCTGCTGGGACTTGAACATCCAGGCGTGACGGGCGTAGGTCATCTTGACAGAAGAGGGCAACGCCCCCTCCGCGTCTATGTGAACGAAGGTGATGAAAGAGTTGATATCCCTCAATATGACACGTTTCAGGCACAATTTGCCAAGCCTCACATATGGCAACGACGCTCGCGGCGGCTGACCTGACTGTAGTTGCCAGCTCGTCGAATTTGTTAGCTAGGGAAGTGATGTTGGATAGCAGTAAAGACGGGAGATCATACCATATCCGAGGAACTTCAGTGTGGTGGTATGGTCTGTCAGGGGTGGGTTTCTCCGGTTTCCTAGTGGAGGTTACGGTTCTAATGGGCTTATGTGTATGACGGCCTTGTCTACGGCTCCGCGCGTGGAATATGTTCAGTGACTTGAGTCGCGCGATAACACTGCCATCAGGATAACCGTTCCCACGCTTTAGATGGTACAGAGTGCGTCGGGAGTAAGTGATTGGTGGCCATCTGTTGAAAACTGTTGTGGGCGGACGGAAGTGTTTGTCACTGACGGCACTTTGAGGGCCACTGACACTGGTAGACATCTGTTAATATTTGTCAGTCGTAAAGACTGTAGGTCTTTGTCCCTGGTGCTTGGGGTCGCCGACACAGTTATCACGATATATGTAAACACCGCGGTGGTCCTTGTCACTGGCACTTTAAAGGTGACCGATAAAGTGCCCACTGTCTGACTTTTCCTTGGGGTGCACTATCGAGTACTGTATGATAATCACTTATTGCTCTGATGACTTGAATGCTTTGCTGAGAAAGTTCCTTAAGTGCACTATAGGAACACTGCTCCGTAATCAATCGTTCACTAATCACTAGAATGTTTTGCTGAATAGATCCCGGTGTAGTAAGGCTGGTAGGGCGTTGGGGTATAGCAGGGGGAGTGGGCAGGGCCAAACAGACTCGGCCTGGCTGCTAAAACCGGGAACGCCTTCGGGACACGTCTTGTCTCACTGACGGTTGACAAGAGTTGGAGAAAGGAACAAGACAGGTTGATCTCGTGCGCCAGCATGGTGATATCGAATCAACTATCAGGACAATTAAGAAGGATGCAGCCAAGATAAAGGAGCACATGCACATCACAAAGTCTACAGGTGCTTCTATGATCAAGTATTTCCACAACCAGGTGCTTCTCAAGACGGAAATATTACTTGTGTTCTACTTGGTGCGTCAGGCGCGACGGAACATGGCGGTGGACACGCGCTCAGTTAAGTAGTACGCACGTGAACTGTATGCTGCAGTGTCACGAAAGATGGGAATTACAGAGCCCAAACCCTTTAATGCTTCCTCTGGGTGGTTACAGAGGTTTAAGAAGAGGAACAAGATCACCAATATTAACATTGGTGGTGAAGAAGCTGGTGCTGACCGTGTTGCGGCTAGGGAATTTCCTCCGTTTTTACGTGAGATTATGGAGGAAGGACAGTACACCGACGACCAGGTGTTTAACATGGACGAATCTGGTCTTTTTTGGAAAAAGCTACCTTCCAAGACCTTCGTTGTGAAGAATGCCAGCAAGTGTCGGGGCCGGAAGTTGCAGAAGGAGCGCATCACCGTCCTGTTTACCACCAATGCCTCCGGTACCTGTAAGCTCAAGTTATCGGTGATCCACATAGCACGCAAGCCGCACGCCTACAAGAGCATGGACATGACCAAGGTAAATGTCCATTGGCTGACCGCACGTAAGGCGTGGATGCTCTCTATACTGTCCCTCTCCTGGTTTGATGACTGTTTTGTTCCTGATGTGAAGAAATTCTGTGAGCAACAGAATGTGCCATTCAAGATTTTGTTGCTGCTTGACAATGCACCAGGACACTCGCCCCTACTGTTAGATCGTCACCCCAACGTAAAAGTGGTCTTCCTTCCCCCCAACACTACGTCTATAATACAGCCCATGGACCAAGAATTGATCTGTAATGTAAAAGCTGCATTCTCTGCTAAAAAATTCAAGTTCCTCAGCGACTACACCAACACCAAGGAAGAGTTGCGTAACCAGAGTGACACCAACACCGATAGCAAGAGCGAAGACGACGAGGATCAACAGTTGGCAGAGCAAGAAGTACTTTTGAAACAATTTTGGAGAACATTCAACATCAAGAAAGCTGTGGACTTCTTGGTGGAGGCATGGGATCAGCTGTCTGTAGCATCTGTTCGTCACGCATGGAGACATGTGTTGCAAGGCATTCCGGGTGGTAGGCAGAGTAAATCTGTGACTGGTGAGGTTCAGACTGTTGCAGTAGCAGTGGACCTTGCCAGAGAAGCTGCGCAGAGTGTTACAGCTGCAGGCTTCTCCGAGACCACCAGCGACGACATCCTGGAGGTGATAAGGGATCCTGATGTGACTACCGACGAGATGGTAGATGATGATGACGTCAGTGAAGAGGCAGGTGGTGCGTCATCCCAAGAAGAACGCCACTTATTCCATAGTAATGTTTGGGGTGCCATCGAGTGTATTGAGAAAGTCAAGCTCCTCCTTTCCGACGACCCTGACGCTAACAGGTATGAAATCTTCACTACCCAGCTGTTGCAGACTATGGAGCCCTACATCAAGGTTTATCACGACAACATAAACACCAGCCGTCAGCAAAGCATAACCGAGTTCTTCGCCCGCAACCCACCACAGCCAGCCCAAGCCAGTGATAGTGACAGGCAGAGACATTGATGATGACTTTGAGGGATTTGTCAGGGAGACACTAGTAAGTGTGGATGACACCGATGAAGACTCACCTGAGGGCCAATAGCCTGCCCTCTGCCTCGGAACCAGCCTCCATTCCCCTACGCCGACCCATCTCTTCTACTAATGTAAGTGTTAACCCCCAACCTTGTTTTTTTCTAACCTAACCTTCAGTTTATTATTCTCTTATTGATTGTTCCCTTCTTTATTATGTATTTGTGAATACCATCATAAAGTTTAGATGTTATTTTTTGTAAAACGTACGTATTGTGTCGGGAAAAAGTGGAGTTTGGGGGTCGGCCCGGTCTCTATTTCAATTAATCCCATATGTTATGTTGTTCACTTTACGCGGGCCGCCGTGGGTTCAATTAATCACGTAAAGTGAGGGTTCACTGTACAGTATTTGGTTTGAGAGTTTTGAGTGAAGGCTTTAGAGGTCCAGCCCAAAGAAAATTGTATAGTATATCTGTTTTGCTAATTTTGAAAAAAAGCTGTTGACAGGGTAAAACACAATTATCTTTAGATATTTTGGAAAAATAGGCATTACTGAAGGAAATGTTAGTATTCTTAAGGGGGGAGGGGGCAACAAGTGGTTGCAGTGTTAGTAAATATTGAACTTACTAATTGGTTCATAGTTAAACAGGGAATAAGACAAGGCTGTGTTCTATCTCCAATATTGTATAATTTATATTCAAAGTTCTTTAAGAAGGAAGTTCTACTGTAATAATGCAGGAATAAAAGTGAATGGTGAAGCAATATAAAATACAGGTGTTGACTGTTATACGATGGATCAGTTTTACGATGTTAAAAAATTAACACCATTTATAGCTATACGATGGCTAAGATCAGTTTTACGATGGTCGCTACCTGAATGCTTTTCCTGCTTTGTCATTGCTATGAGAGCACTACTGCTTTCACTTGCACTTGAATAAGGGTAATACAGTGGACAGTCTTGAATAAGATATGTACGTAAGTATTAAATCCAAGAGCTGAGAACAAGTAATCACGCATACGTGCCGGGAGATAAGAGAACTGAATTGGCGTTTGTCCACCGGCATACCCACTCTTGTTAGAAGCAAACACCAAGAAATCCATTCCAAATAAATTATAATTAATTTAAAAAAAATTCTTGTTCTATATCTCACTTTTTGTGTTGAAAATTTACTCCATTTCCATGAGGTCGAATTTATGGGCGAATTTCTGCAACTTAAGTTTCTGTAACGTGGGGGATACCTGTACTGTACATGGAATTTATAGAATAGAGGAAATGAGATAGAGTACTTTTTGCATATAATTGGGGATAATGGCAGAAATATTAATGGGCAAAGTTGAAGGTAGGAAGGCCAGAGGAAGGCAAGAATTGAGATGGTTGAATGAAAAAAAAAAAGTTCCCCTGGTCGCCAACCATCAGATATACAGATGGCACTTTTGATTGATTGAATCCCAAATGAAATTATAGTAGGCCTGTAAGAAGGGGTAGTTGAAAATTTTCAAACCATTGAGGTCTCCTTTGAACATACAAATATTTCAGCTCAACGCAGCATTGAGAGTTTAACTGCCATGGCGAGTTATAATGTTGGACCTTTTTGGAAGGCGGCATACTAACCTCATGTTGATTACTGTATCTGACTCCAGATCCCTTAACTTACCTTCATACCCTCTAAACATTGTTTCTTTTCCATTTTTTTCTTAAGGGTTTGACAGCCTTGCTGGAAGAAGGAATACTTAAGCTAGTACAGTGCATTAAAATTATATTGTGGTGTGGTGAGTATTCGCTCTTTGAACAGTAGAAATTAAAAATTAAAATAATTTGTGTTTTCACACAGTAAAACCAGCTCCTCCTAGGAAAAGACTTGTGAATATAGATAGCAGTGATGATGATGAACCTAAACCAAAGAAGAAAACTGGACCAAAGAAGGCAGCTACTGCAATGGTCTCATTTAGTCTTACTGATAATGATGATGATGATGATGATGATATTGATCTCCAACCCAAAAAGAAACCAGGACCAAAGAAGAAGGCCACTGCAAAACCCACTGGAGATATATCTGAGGATGATGATGATTTCCAAAAAACTAAGAAAAAACCATGTCCTAAAAAGACAGCAGCAGCGGCAAAGAAAACAGCAGGCTCTGATTCTGATGATATGTTTGATGATTTTACTACGGTATGTTGAGAATATCTCTCTCTCTCTCTCTCTTTTGAATTATGGTGAAATTTCATAAGATATGTTAAAGGGATCTTGGGGGAGGGAGCCACTCCGTCCCCTCCCCTCTGCCTGCTGTTCCCAGATATACACTCATCTTCCACATACAATATATCCCTACATTTTTTTTTTTTTTTTTTTTTTTCTGTAAAGTATACAGTTTTCTCTATTCATAGGACAAATTCTGTGGTTACTTATATATAACACTTTACAGTCAGTAACAATAATCCCGGTTAAAAGAGTTGTTGACAACCAGACTTCTGTCTGATTTTCAACCTAGAGAGTTCTGTTTCATATTTTTTTTTTATCGTTGATCTAATATTCTTTTAATTACCTTGTTAAATACTTAAAGACCTTAGTTATTGAGGTTCTACTCTGTGTGTGTGTAAACAGGAATTTATCCCTGCGACTTTTAATAGTACAGTATTAAAAACTTATCCAGATATCACATACTGTTCACATGACCCGAGGGAAATATTTAATGCCTTAAATCTGTGACTGTTCAATGTTCATTTCTGTAAACACAAAAATAGGAAGTAACAAGAAGTACAACAAAACAAGATTGCACTTGCATTCAATTAGTTATACTTTGTCATTTTCACCCTGAGTTAAGGCTCCTGAGGCTTCATTACCCTTAGTGGCAAACATTTAAAAAATTTACAGATATCGTAGAAGAACTTATTTAAGAAGAATAAATACAGGCCTTTGAGGTGACTGGAAGTCATGTAAAATGGGGTTGAAATTTAAATGAAAGGATGTTGCAAAGTTGTAGAACTCAGAGAGTTGTCCGTTGACGTGTTTCATGTGTAAATTTAATATCCATCTGCTCAAAATTTGAAAAACTGCTGAATGTAAAAAGATGATTACAGTAGTTTAATAATTGTATTGAAGTCAAATTTCTTCCCTTCCTTTATTACATTGTATTGTAATATCAATTTTTACCAACTTATTTGATAAGATGCTTAATGTTTATAAATATATATACTGTACAGTATTTGTATTTATCTTTTCAGAAGAGTAAGGAGCTTGATTTTGGTGACTCAGAGCCTGTGGCCGTTGCACCCCGTGGACGTCCAGGTCGTCAAAAGAAAGTAATTACATATGTTGTCAGTGATGAAGACTCTGATGATGACTATTATTGAGATAGTATGTGTCATGTTTCAAGAAAATTAAACTCCAAATGGCAGTGGCCCATTTTAAATAAATCTTATTGGCAATACTAGTTGCATTATGATTAAATTTATAATCTTGTTTTAGACTTAATTTTGTTTTATATCCAGTTGAGCACCTTTGTATTAGGCTTATGGGGATTACAACTTCATGTTTGCGATAACAGAATTTTTGCAAGTACAAAGGGTTGGTGATGCTAGTAACACTGTGACTAAAAAAAAAATTCATTGATTAGATATATTAGTATTTTTCTAATAATTGATTGATGGTGTATATTTATATTGCAGAAGAATTCTGAACTGCAGTATATTTCTTGATATTTTTAAAAAAGATACAGTAATTCACATAAATTTTTTAGTGCAACAGATTCTTAATATATGTATTTTCTGAGATTTACGTTGACATTTTTGTTTACAAATCTCTCTTTATTTTTTTGGTATTTCATTTTATTTTTTACTCGAGAAATATACAGTAGAGTACCTCTGAACAAAAATAGGAAGAGCTGGTATTTTAGTATAGATATAGCACAAACTTTTACAGATCTTCAGTTTCTGTCTATTTATCTCTTATTTGACTTTGTAAACTGTTGGTAAACTTATTTTTAGCTTGCCATATCAAAGTTAGTTTGGTAAAAATAGGAAATTTTTAAATTTATTTTACATATCTTTTGATGATATTTATTTCTTTTTCATTCAATGTGTCAGTATCCTGACATTGTCTGCTGTCACTTTTTGAAAATAAAGTAGGTAGATATGGTTATGGTTATATGTATCCTCTTAGATATTGAATAATGATTAATTTAGTTTTAAAATTTTTGTGTTCAAAATAGTATGAAGCACAAAATCCACAACCAAATAATTTGTCTTGAACTTTGAATTAGAATACTGGCCTATAGGGAGTAGGATTAACCTTTATACCCTGGGTGACATTCCGTAACGTTCATGATTTTCACGGCTAATTTGGAATGTCCAGGCAGGAGGAAATACTTTGTATGGGATATTTGTGTAATTGGCAACTCAACTTGCTTATATTTGTCTCAAGACTCTTCCTCGTGGTCAGTTACGTACCAGATATTGTGAGAGATGCATGTCCTGAGACCTTTCTTATGATCCACCTCACTCCTCCACACCCAAGTACAAGCAAAGGCATTTGCCCAACAGAATTGTAGTGCTGTTCGTCAAGAGTTGCTTGATTTAAGTGGCATTGATATAGTACTGAAGACAATGATGGGGAGGAAACCGAACTCAGATATGTCGAGTTTGTTGAGGACAGTGATAGGCTTACAGACTAGCACTCCATCCCCCTCCCCACCTCTCCAACTACCATGAACCACGACACAAAGATAATGTGACTTGGTGCAAAGAGTGTGGAGTTCCCTTGTGCATTCTGCGTTACAAAGACTTCCACAGGATCAAAAAGTTTTAAATTCAGTAGAAATACATGTAAATACTAGTGTATATATTGTACAGTATTTGAAAATAGTGATAAGTTTTGTGCTGTCTGAATATTCCTACTTTTCAGTATTTTGTAGTTCTCTTTAGGAAAATAGAAATAGTTTGTGTTTTGTACTATTTATATGATAAAAATATGATATATAAGTGCCTTCAAGTAGGAACTGTGTGTTGCAAGTGCGTGTCAACATCACTTCCCGCTCACTATGGGCTGTGTGTAGCAGCTTCAAACAAGATATTTTTCATCACTCCACAATGCTCAACACTACAGACAACTTCCCAACCATTCTACAATTAGAGTTGATTGTATATACAGTTTGGGTCAAAAGTCTTGAACACTTAGCAATATCTGGCATCTTCTTCTGAGTTATACATACAGTAAAGCCTCGAATAACGACGTTAATGTGTCCTCCAATATTGCAGTGTAAGGTGAATCATCTTCTCGCGAATCAATAATTACCATTAAAATAAAGCAATAATAATGAGATGCGTTCCCAAGTGTGACCTTTTCATATCTTTTGTGTGGCTTTTTACCCTCTTTTCCCCCAAAAAACAATACAGTTAATGAAAATTGCAAACTATATTCTTTAAATAATGTTTCTGAATGCACCTTATACAATATAAATGAATAATAATATGGTCACACAAGGATATGGGACGCCATTGCTTTCGTTTGTGTTTACAGACCAGGAGTCCGGGACGATAGTTCTACACGAGAAAATGAAGAAAATATGACCTTGGTTGTAGCTGTAGTAAAATTTCTGTAAAAAAATTAATATATATGTTTTAGGTAATGTTATTTAATGTTAATAAATGGAACAATAGAATTGGCTAACCACTAATGGCAAAGAAAAAAAAAAGAGATGGATTGGGAACGCCAACATATACGTACTGTACGTGCGCATTTAAGGATACCACGTCATTTATCTTTTTAAGAATATGTGCAAAAGATTCATCATTGTTTATTACTGAATATGTATTTGATTGAATTAATCTTTATATATGCGAAATGGACAATACAATTCATTAATAATACGTAGAATATTAAACCACACAAGAGGATAAGAGATGGCGTTGTTGTCAGTGTTTACACCCACAATTGTCAGTTATCCACCTGAAACTGAAGAAAATAAGACCCTGGTTGTTGTAGTAAAATTAATGTAAAAAATGTGTTTTGATTCATATTTTTTAATGTACAGTACAAGTACTGTAACCACTGATATTACAGAAAAGTGAGACTGATAGTGGAATGCCAATGTATACAGTATGTGCACACTCAAGAAAAGTAATTTATCTTAAGAATATGTTTAAAAGATTCATTATTGTTTATTACTGAATATGTATTTGATTGAAATAATGTTTATATATGTGAAATGAACAATGCAATTCATTAATAATTAATATGTAGAACCTCCTTTCATATGCATACGATTTTAACCCTTTGAGATCTAATGGTGTCCTGGCATGCCCCGTGTAGTGGGTCTATTGGCATCCTGGTAGCCCAGCTAATTTGTAATTTTCCAGAGTGGTTAGTCACGCTGTTTTTGAGCCAAAAGCTCATCCACTAAGCCATGATTCCCTTAGTACCATACACTGCTAATCCTAAAGCATGTGATGAATATACTGTATATAGCGTAATAATAAGAAAAACCGAAGTTGTGAGAACATAGAGGGAATTAGTAGTGTGTCAAGTGGAATCTTACCATATTGTACCTTTCCTTATCTCGAGGCCCAGTTGCATGATAACTCCCAGAGGGGCGATGAGGCCCGATGACTCCCTGACTTCTCAGGCTTGGCAACAACCATCAGTGGTGAGTAGTGATAAGTATGTATTTTCCCATTCACTAACATATATATTTCTTACATTTCTCAAGACTAGAATGTTCATTTTACTTTTTCCTTACTAATACGTTTCTGAAGGGAGACTTTCTTGGGTTTATTAGACCTTAAGAAAGATGCCTTTACAAAAGTTAAAATATATTTCAACATATCCAAAATCAGTGACTCCAACTGCAAAGACAAACATGATACTGTACAGTTTTGCCTAAAATCTTCGTAAATGTAATTGGTTATTTAAACTTCCTTCCGACTTTTTATTCATTTATTTTTTAAAAGTATACTTATTAACAGATGCTAAAAGTATTCTGATATTGTGTATGTTTAATAGTACTGACAATACAGTACAAGCCTCAGCAATCAAGCCAAAAAATACATTCCTGTACTGTACTTGCCTAATTTATGACAAAAAATATGTGCAACAAATAACATTCAAACATTCCAATAATTCAACTTCATACAGCACACAATATTATGTTTCTATACATAAAGGAAGCAAGAATAAAGAATCTTTGATGACACTCATAAAATGTGGATACAATACAACATAAGCAAATCCATCTTCTCTCAGTATTAGAAACACTTTGCATTCATACACTTTTAAACAAGTACTCAGTCACACTTCAATGCATGCATTCATAAACTTTTACAAGTGTACACTTACATACTTAACCAAAGTGCAAAACTTATTATATATTATGAGTAACAGTACAGCAGGATTTAGTAAGTGTGTTATTAGGAAAAAAAAATGAAAACAATAGCAAAGTTAAGCTCAAAAACACTGCATCTGGTGTATGGAATTGGGTGTTTTTTAACTTAAAAAAATAGTGGTGGGAATTTCTATGGTGAGATATAATAGATGAGGTAAAAATTTACATGGCAAGTATATTTACATAATAAATATAGGAATGACAGGATATAATGTTGGTCATGGGGTGAGCTTTAGTTAGTAGGAAATGGTACAACTTACATTACTGTATGTTCTAGAAATATGGCACTGTCACAACATATGCTTTGAGGAGTGCAAGCAAATGAGAAACTAATCAATACAGTTTAGAGATCAATGTGAATAATAATTGATAAACAAAAAGGACTGCTCCTGAAAACCAAATTAGGTGTTTCGTGTTACACAAGTCACCAAGTCTAAAAGGGTTAAGCCTGATTAACCCAATGAAATACGGTAATCAAATAATTAGTGAGCCATTCTTGCTGAAACCAGTACTGTATCATATTAGAGAGCTTGGAACAAAGAGTTGCCATTTGAAGCAGATATCTAAACCAATGTGCCACACCAGCAGTGCAGAGTACTGTACTCCAGTCACTGTTTGATTGCAGTTTGGAACCCCAGCAAGATCCAACATTCTTACCAGCCATTTTGCAGCTCACTGGTCTTCATCATAATCATCATTTTAAGACCAATTTCCACACTTGTAATTAATTACCTGATGACAGCTCTTTATACTTCATGGTCTCTTGTATCCTCTCTCAACAGGTTCTTAACTCTTGAGGTCATTCTTGACCTTCCCCTAGCTCTCCTCCCTCCACTTTCTGGTTCTTGCAACTTTTCACCCAATAGGTCTCCTCCAGTCTCACAACAAGTTTGAGGCATCTCAACCTATTTCTATGCAAAACCTTGCCAATATTCTTAATATCCAGCCACCCTCATAGTTCTGAATAAGATTTCCTGTCTATCATCTTCACATTACACACCCGATTCACCATTCTCATTTCAGCTTCCCATGTCAGTTACATATGATACAGGGGGTCCCCCAACTTACAAACGTTCCCCGATACAAATGGGATTAAACTTGAAATTTACAGTACTGTATTTTATTTAACTGATGACTTATTTTTTACTTTCATTTTCTGTATTTTGTCCTTCTCTTCTTTTTTCTCAAATAAAGTGATTTTAGATGTATATAAGGACTTAGGCTATGATATAGTGTGGGTTTTAAACATCGTTCTGTAAGTACGGTATGCACATGTTCTGAATTATGTACATTTCCGACTTAAGAACATCCTCAGGAACAGAACCCTTTCGTAACCCGGGTACCCTCTGTACATCTTTCCTTTCACATGCAGAGATCTTCTGACCATCAATACAGGCAACAATTCCCTAAACTTCTTCCAGCCACTTATGACTCTTGCAACTGAGCTAACTTGAACACCATTACCAGCAATGAACATGTTATCCAGGTAGCAGAACTCACTGACACAGTTCAAGGATATATCCCCAATGTTTACCATTTCCATCTTTGCTAAGGCTACATGATTACCTGCACATAAAGCACATCCTGAAGTCTACCATTTACATCACTGCACCTGTTGTGTACCAAATTTTCACACTCATTGTACATGATTCAATTATTGCCAACACCCTTACAGACAGCACATGGCCATTTTTCACTTTCCACCACAGATTCTTCACCATCACCACTAAACCTTTCATTTGTTTTTGCCACAATCTCATGTTTTTTATTTCATTCCATCTCCCACTTCTTGAAGTTCTCCATTACCTCCTTAATAATATCTGCCATTAACACTTAACCCAACAAGAACGATATATTTCATACAATAAATAGCGTGTAAATGTGACATACAGGGTACATCATATGATGAATTTGGTGGGCTCAGTCACACTTGGCTCCACCAATGCACATCCTCAATATCAGCAAAGCCATTATGGAAAACAAATACATAGCAGCCACACTATGAAAAATACCGAGTATGGTGTGGTAATTTATAAATATTGTGTAAAAAAAAAAAGCGTACTGTATGTGTATCACTGATCTAGTTTCATAGTTTTTGCTATGGGTATATATTAAAAAATTTGCAAACCATAGAAAATATACATTGGAAACATCCTCCACCTCCACAACTCTCACTCAGCTGACCAGCCCAAGATACGGTACTCGACTTCATTACTTCACCACAGCTAAAGTAATGTAAATGATGGATTTATATTTGTTTTTCCCATTCTTCTGTATGCAATCTTCAAATTCAAGTGTGAAATTTGTTTAGCAGTGTTTTAGCACATGGGGGTTTCAGGTCAGAAAACTTAACTGCAATTATTGGGTTAAAAAGTCAGCATACAACAACTCCAAAGGACAAGTCATAAACATTCCCAGTATGTAGCAAAATATCACAGTTCTGAGCTGCAGAGAGCTTAAGGCTTACATCCCAAAATTAAAAGTGACTGGAGTAATGCACATTGCTGATATGTCACATGATTCATTTAGCATTCTGCTTTAATTAGCAATGTGTATTCCTTAGCTCCCTTTCAGGGTGTTGGTTATGGCTGAAAGATTTCACTAGCCATTTGAAAAGTCCTATTGCAATTTCAAGGGGTTAATATAAGTTTTACCTTCATAGACTTAGCTAGTTGCAGAACACAACTCATCCAAGATAGTTGAAGTTATAATTAAATTAAATGGATGGTGTGTACTTGTTACATGGGTGGTTGTAAAAACAAAAATATAGTGTAACACAGTACTGTACGGGGAAAAAATAAATTTTATAGCTTAGAATGACTGCAGATATACTGAACTGAAGTAATAAAATAAATGATATTGAAAGAATATGTAAGTAAGAGAGGAATCCTCATACTGTACTAGATTCTGCAAAATACCAAGATTGTTGTACAGGTTGACAACCCTTTATCCGAAATTCCGAAAACCTTAAGTTTTTTTTTTTGTGGATTTTTTTTTTTTTTTTTAGATTAGTTCACCCAGGCATAGATCACTGACCCACATCAGGGCCTGGGGAATGTAATAGTAATACTAATAATTATAATACGTAATAATTATTCAGTCAATAAAAATTTTAATAAAAAGTACACCAAAATAAAATAATAATCATAAGAACATATAATAAAATAAATAATAATAATAATAACAACAATACTGTATTAATAAAATAATAATAATAAAGAAATACAATAATGAAAAAAAGATAAAAAGTGAGAAACACGACCTAGACCTATGAATTATTATTATTATTATTATTATTATATTTTCGACTCCCAGGCACCAATGTGGGTCAGTGACTTGTGCCTGGTTGGGCTAATAAAAAAAAAAACTAACCATTCTGAAAACCGAAAAATTCCGAAATCCGAAATGACTCTGGCCCCAAGGATTTCGGATAAGGGATTTTCAACCTGTGTTCGTATATGAAATATTTTCTGCAAACGATACTCTGATGTATGGCAAGAAGAGGCTCACAAGATACTGTAAAGATTTCAATTCTCAATCAATTTAATAGTTTGGTAATTTTCTAAGTCTCGATACAGTACAACAATGTACAATATAAAAATATGCAAATTATTAATAGCAATCAGACCATGTGCCATATGTTTGACTTGATATACGTACTCTTACATTGCAGATTTTGCTTTTGTTTGAACTGGAAGATATAGCTTAAACTCTGCTGGTAATTCTTCCTCAGAGTAAAGACGATCTGCAAAATAGACCCTTCTGATACGGCAGTTGGCGTGAATTTGAACTCTTAAAGTTTCAACATAATTTGTACCATATGCTCTCCGCACAAAATCTGCAAGGTTGAACACGATTTGATTCCATCCTTCATCCAGCCGCATAGGCATTGTGCAGATGAATGGCTTAACCCTTGTGGTTGACTGGTAGTTGCTGGCACGGAAACGTCGGCGAACATTTTTGTCATCCAAGACCTACAAAGAAAGGGATTGGAGTATAAAACCCTTTATTATGTCTAGGAGAAAGAGTTAATGACTTTAGGGATACAACCAGCATGACACCCATTGGCAGAGACTTATTTTGTTCAAGGGGCTATCTAATTTCTAGAGACAGGGTAACAGCCCCGTATTTGCTCACAAGTTTGTATAAAAAGCTATAATCCCAATCCAATGGTTGTTTCAAAAGCTAATGAAAAGTCAAAGCAATGGGCAATGGAGCCAGTTCATTTGACTCAAATCTAAGAGAGTGGACACCTTAATCAACTCTGGGTCACAGTAATAAGAGTAATCTGCAACTAGAGGTTCCATAAATCATGTCAGACAATTATAAAAGTGATACATCTTCACTGCAGTGATATTATAATTAGGATTACTCAAGCTTGTTTTCTCTAAATTCTGATAACTGAATAGTCTAGACTAAAAAATCTGAAAATAATCACACCAGGAGTGACTAAGAACCGTTTAGAGATTATTTCCTAAATCTACTTCATAGATTATTTTCTAAATCTACTTCAGCTTTTGACATCAAATATATATAACCTCTAATTCCTGAAATAGTAATACAGTACATTTACTCAATTTACAAATACAACTACAGTAGGGAGTAGGCAGCTATCAAACAGGGAGGTACTACCGCCAAGGAAGATGTTGGAAGCATAATGTGTTGTCTAATGGTAGACCCTGCAGCCATATGGCATCACAAAAATTGTGACTAAGTCTCAGGTTGCTGATCTGACTTTCTGCCTCATACACAATTGCAGGGTCTCAATTGTTTCTCTTACTATTGACAACACAACATACATACTGTACATTGTTTCTCACTCTTGATTTATTTTTTTATTTTTTTTATTTATTTATGGTTATCATTATTATTTTATTTTTTATTAAAATTATTATTTATTTGTATTAATTATTATTATGGTTATAATTAATTAATATTTTTATTATACCTCCCCAGGCCCTGATGTGGATCAGTGACCTGTACCCAGGTGGGCTAATCCCTGTATATAAAAAAAAATAATAAACCTAAATAATCTTCCAACTCTATACTGTACAGTGAGCCCTATACGTTACAGTACTGTAACAGTTAAATATACAATTCTCAATTTCCATGACTAATATACAGTAAGTAACTGAAAATTCCTGGCTTATTAGAAACCAGTACTGTACTGTACTTTACCTGTACTTCAAATGTAAAGTATTTATTGAGGTTTTTAACAATCATAACAAGGTAAGGAAGCTTGATGCCAAGGGTCTTCTTGGGGTCAGCAGGACATGTGATGTAGGTAGTGCTGAAAAAAAAAAGCAATACAGGTATCAAGGGACATATACCATGCATATATTATATTTAAAAAACATTTAGCCTTTGCATAATATAATAACCAAGTTTAAAATAAGGTTTACTATAACCTGTCAGACTTGTAAGTGTTTACAAAGGACAAAAGAGAACCGGATTTATTTTTTATTTCATACTGAGATACCATTTTTGAACCATTCCTTGGTAATAAAAATGTAGGAGAGGGTACTGTGGTATCTTGGATTCTTTTAGTTCTCAACAAACAGAGGAAACCATTATTTTTAAATCTCCACTTTTTTAAGGGTGGTGATTGCAAAAGAATAATTTTACCAAATATGAAATTAGTACCAGCTGTTAATGTCAACGGTTGGTCTGGTTTTATCATGTAAATTTGTGTGATAAAATACTTGAGACTCCTCAGAAACAGAGTCACGATACAAAACTAAACACAGTACAAGTGTATGTACAGTATGACGTACCTTACATTAACTCCAACAATTTCCAGAACCAAAGATTGAATATCATTGTCAGTTATCCTTTTGATATGCCCATTGCGAACCTGCAAAAAACACAAATATAAATAAATATTCTTCATAATACTAGTTGAAAAATTGGCTGCAGAGCGAGGACTTTTATTGTGGTCACAGAAACTTAAAAACTTAAATGTGTGCATGGGAGGGTTAAAAATTGAAACTATACGGTAACTCAAAAAATTAAATAATAATTAAACTATAACAAATACTGTGGCAAATAATTATTCACTTGGTAAACGAGAATTTCATTTACTACTGGCAGATTTTATCAAAATGTGCCACATCACAAACACTGAAAATATTGCTGTATCCTGTAGTACTGTTTTTATTAGACCATTTTCATCATATAATTAAAATAAAAGACTACATTATTTAATTAGCAGAGAGAAAAGTGACATCCATATATTATTTTTGCAAATGGACTTCATTTGCCACACCTACCTAATGCTATGGAGAAATTTTGTCAGGTTGCTGTTATTAAGCTTATAAGTGGTGAAATAATTATAAAAAAGTCTGGCCCACAAACACCAAGTATCACCATATTATTTTGGTCTGGTTTAGCTTGTTAATTTACATTAGAGTAGACAGGTTTGGTTAAGTAAGATATGAAGCAGTCACTAGGTAGTATTTGTCAACAGATGAAGCACCAAATTTTTGCCATATTTAATATGGCAACCTGGTTTTGGATACCTGTATTCTTAAGGCAAGAAAAATTTTCTTCTATACAATATCCATTTATAGTTTCTGGCAAGTAGGGGACAGTGTCCTAAAGCATTAGTCTAATTGGTAAAGGTGTAGGAGAGGGTTTAATATATTGTTATTAGCATTATATAAGAAAAATAATACAAAATAATGCATAGAACTTACTAAAACCTGACCAAACATCCCCAACCTATGGGTATGTTAGGTCAGGTTCTATTAGGTTCCATGCAGTTGTTTCCATTTTTGTTTAATATCATATTAGCGGGCAGAAAAAATTTAAACCAATTCGGACAAGTCCTTCTGGTGGTCACCCTCTCCTACACCTTTACCCTATAATTTAACTAGGATTTTAAAGCCATCCACTGCCTAAACTCAAAAGCTTCAAAATAGCAGAGTTGAAAGGCCAAGCTCAGTTGCATCTTACTCGCTTAGCTTAAAAATTATGATATATAAATTAATTTACAATACCTTCTTATCCCATATTTGTAATGGCTTACTGCCTATACTATAAAGAATGGAAAGAAAGCCACTCTGAAATGTGTTCTTGAACATGCTGGCTGGAGGCCGTGGGTGTCCCGGCAGGAAGGTCTTGTTTACACGTCGTTGCCCCGGGAGAGCCGCGTCTACTGTACCAGCGATAGTAATAACATTAAATGTCTTTATTTTCTGTATAAACATTTTAAATTACAAATTAAATATAAAATATAGGACTATAAAATTATTTAATACTTAAATATAGACATCAAGATAATGTTTTCGCATGATGACATACACGAAATTATGCTGATTGTTGTATTGAGGTTCAAAGTTTCCTCCCCGCCAATGTCAAGTGAGAAACATCGGTGTACAGTAGTGTTTTCTTATTATGGTGACTCAGTTTGATTTGTTGGAAATGTATTGTACCAAGATGATCAAGTGGGATGTAAGAGTGATAGATAAAATTGCAAGAATGCTTTAAAAGTAGGTAAGGAAAATGATTTGTCTTGGGGTGGTCGGTACAGGGTTCAGGTCCAGCCCCAAAATTTTGTCTTCAGAAGTTCTTGGGTAGACAGACCTGTTGATAGGTGTAAGTTTTTATCTGTAACATGTTATTTCAACCGACTCAAACTTTCAGTAGGTCATGCGTATGATTCATCAATTAAATAATGTATTGCTGCCACATAACAAGTTCTTAAATATTAAGTTTTACTGGTAGGTAAGGCTTATATGCTGTTGAATAAATACTGTACTGACACGATTTTAAGGTAAAGATCCATCTTATGCCACAGAAGATAAGTAAATTAGTTTTTACTCTTGTCCTCTACACGTTACAGCCTGTGTACATGTATGGTATCTTTCTTCATTACTTAAAAGGTCAAACATTGTTTGTTAATTTTTGATGTTGCTGTTGTAATGTGTGTACTAGCAGAGGCAGTTGTTTACTTGTTATAAATTTGGGTAATGCCTGTGAACAGCCGGGACTCTCCTGCTTAACACACTTACTCAAGGTACTGGATGTTTGGACCTGAATTCTGGAACAGAGTGGCCATATCGACAAATTATACCTATCGCCAAGGCTTTCAACAGCGTACCCCAGAAATTACCTAGACTTATTGTTTTGTGGGTGAGAAAAAAAAGTGAAAACTAAGTACAGCTCCTCCCCGACTTGCGACCTACTCGATTTACGACCACCCGGACGTATGACCGCCTCAAGTCGTACCAAAATTTTGTCAAATTACGTATTTTCGAGTCCCAACGTCAGTGATTGCGCGGTGTACTGACAAAATTTTCGTTTGTAATTCACTTTAAAATGGCTAGCAAGCTTAAAAGTGAGAGTTTTGTGGTGCTGAGAAGAAAAAAAGACACCCATTTTAGATTTTCTATGTATTTAAGCATTTCGACTTATGACCTGGATTTGGGTCCCTAACCCCATTGTAAGTCGGGGAGGAGCAGTAATAGGAGTTAGCTAGTGGGGGTAGTTGAGAATAACCTCCCTTTACAGTATAATACTGTACTTTTATTTTTAACCTATGTACACTGACACCTTGGGAAGTATAAAAATGGTGCCTTTTTAAAGTATGATGAAAAATTCAGAAACTTGGAAAAAAAATTTGCAATTGTGATTCATAATTATCATGAATACAGTAATTTGTATTTTAATAACCCTACATTGAGTTTGAGGAACTCTCAATAGCTAGGTGGTGTAGTTTTTTCCACCACGCATCTGCTAATGAGTTATTTGGGTTGGTGATATGTTCTTTTTTACAACCTTTATTGCCTAATGCTAGGAAACCAGAGTACAGTAAAGTATCTGTCAACCATCTAATCTGCTTTATGAAATACAGTAATGTATTTTATGTAAGATTTATGCATTCTGAATAGAAAATTTAAGAATACAGAATAAATTTTTTTATACAGTACAGGCACTCACCGACTTACAACAGGGATACGTTCCTGGACTCTTGATTGAAAGTCGATCTGCTCATAACTCGGAACATTGTAAATTCACAATAAAATACGTACTGATGCACAAGTGTGTGACTGCGAGGTAATGAGTTAAAGCTCAGCTGTTGAGGAGCGGTTGGCAACACTCCTTTCCTCTCCATCTCTCTGATCACCCCCGCCTTTTAGCTTTATCACTCCATATTTTAAAATGTTATGTAATGTAATACCTGATACAAATGAAGATTTATAGATAACTTTCTTTTCACATTTGTGTCTGTTAACATCGCTGGCGACATTGTAGCCAAGTTAGACTCATCACTGTACGGTAACCACCAGGCCACTGGGTCAAGCTGTGAGGTGATATGGTTGTTTTTCAACTCGTATTTTTGGGTAGATATATACATAATTTTCTTCATTTATTTTTACTCCTTTACATGCACACACCATCCTACATATATATATTTGGAAAAAAGTAAAAAAAAATAATTGTCATAAGGGCAAACACATAAGGGGAATATGCATTTCTTTGCACGCGAGTTAGCTGGCTTAGTGGAGGAGCTGGCACGGTGTGCCAAACAAAGTAGAGCGCTTCACGCTTGGCTTGTAAATATTACAAACGGTCGTAAGTCGCTTTTTATTTTTTTAAGAATATAATAGGGCGATGATCGTAAGTGCAGTTGATCGTAACTCAGACGGTCGTAACTCAGGAAGTGCCTGTACTGTATTTAATTTTCCACATACAGTACAAAGTACTGTACAGTAGTGCAATATTACATGAGAATGAATGAGAAGAAATTTGACAATCAGGCAACTGGCTCAATGACTGTGAATGTGAGTGATGCTGGGATGGAGTATTCGTATTTGGTATTCATATTCGAATGCATTCAAATACAGCATTTCAGTGGATGTATTTATATTCATATTCGGATACATTACTATTAGAAATCTAAGTGTTTGCATACGTATTTGAAACCTCAGGCAAAATATTCATTTTCGTAGGATAAACTGATGAATAATAATTGTTTTATTGATTGAAATAATCGAACGGAGAGAGAAAGAGAGTGTTATTTGATTAACCCAAGAAACTATATACAGTACTGTACAGTACGGTACTGTATCACAAATCATGCAATGAAATTAAATGTTTAAATTTGCCAAGTAACTCTAATAAAAAAATAAGTGTCATTTTCTAGACACATGAATATCAGCAATAAAAGAAAACACAGCAAATTTTCAACCTTGGATCTAATGTAGACTGAAATTTGACAGATACCGTCCATAACTTAGGGAGCAGGAGTATGAACTTCGTTTTATTACTGAAGAGGGTTTCAAAGTTCAAGAGTTAGTGAACAAGAGTCGACCTTTGCAACTCAGTGTACAGTATTTGAATCCCCCCTTGACAAATCTGTCAGTATTTTTGGGTTTCAGTGAAGTCAGCTTGCAGAAAAAAGTGAGAGAAGATTTACAAGAAAGAAGAATGGATGACAAGACCGAGAATTCATTAAATGGTAAGTGTCTGATGCACATACAGTTCCGTATTTCAGAATTATTGTAGAGCACTTATATTGTACTTACAGGAACATTAATCAATCAGAGGCACTTCAAAGGTTAGATTCCAATTTGTTATCCTAAGGTCTTGGATGAATAATTTCATCCTTGTTTCAGGGTTTTCATTAGAATGGGCTGGTAGCCAAAATTTAAAAAAATAATAAATCTGATGTCTGGGCTGATTCATATTGTTCCTGGAGGAAAATCCTCATTAATCTGATTAAAAAATAATTAACATTAACTTAATTAATCTTCTAAACATATAACCTGTTTCATAACATCACTAGTTTATCCATCTGTCAAGAGTGTACTGTACTGTATATGGTATTCCTTTACATTTTGCAACAATATAAAAATTATCATTTCAGTTACGCAAATCAAGATTTTCTGGGTATTGCCCATTAGCCAAGCAGGTCTCATAATACAATGGAAGTTACTGGCGGTCCAGGGATCACTGCTGTACCTGCTATTTTCAGCCAGGATTAATCTGTTAATCTATCTGAATATATTGCAGTGTACAGTAGAGTACTGCTCACCCTTCCCGTCCCCTTGCACCTTTGGCCTTAGATAAAGGGGGACTTGGTAAAGCAGTTGCCCCAAAATGATGTGGTTGCTGTCAGTATTCTTGAAATTATGGCCAACCTATATACAGTACTCTACAGGCAGTCTCCAATTTATATAGATCCAGTTTACAAAAATCCAAAGTTACAAAGAAAAAAATATTCCATGGTTTGGTTTCAATTCATGTAAGAAATGTGATATATATATATTTTTTTTTTTGGGGGGATTTATTCACATCATCAGAAGATGACGAGGTGTTCACAGACATCTTAGGGCTTCCTGATTAAAGGCCAAAATCCTCCTTTGAGAAAAGCCTTATCTAACTTGCAAAACATTATCATAAAAAATGGGGTAATTTTCTTCTACTATTTTGCACTTTAACTGAAGCGGATTTGTCTGGCCCCCGGGTTGCCCCTAACGGACCTGGTCACTTTATAAAGATAATTAAACTAAAAACAACTTATACAGTGGTCCCTCGGTTAACGAGCGCCTCGGTTAACGAGATTTCGGTTAACGATTTACCTTCCATAAGATTCTTTACTTCGGTTAACGAGCAATCCCTCGATTAACGAGTTTTTTACGAGCCGACTTCAACATGTTTTCGCTTGCATTTGGCGGTCCACCAGCTGTAGTATTAGTCCGCCAATACAGTAATCGGTTTTAGGGCTTAAATTCCTTACTATTTTAGTAAATATCAAGAAGTTTATACTATTCAATAATTTTAAAAGTTTAATATTAACTTTTTTAGTCATTTTAACAATTATTGAACATAATTGAAGGTAAAAAAACTAGTTTCTGGCGTGTCATCCAGCCTGTTAACACACCAGACAGGCATTAGTCTCTCTCTGTTTTCAGTGGAGGTAACATCTTGCTTGAGACTCTCTTCAACTAAACGCTTTTTTTCTGTGTTTCCAAGCAAATTATTGGTCATTTTGAAATATATTTTTTATATTGACAATATATAATGCAGTGCAGTGTTGATTTAAAGAAAATAATCTTGAAATACACCAAGAGAACTAAAATTTTATGGGTGAAATGGTGCCATGGGGTGACTTCTCTTCCACCCCAATGCCTTCTCTTCTT